ATTTATTGCCAATCAATGCTCCAGTTCTCACTTTTAATAGACGTGACTGGTAAGGTCTCATAGAATAACTTAGCGATTGATTTATTTATATCCCCATTAATATTGGTTCCACATCTTGTTCAGTGTCGAAGTTAGTGCTGTGCTACACAGCACTTAAGCTTAGCCAGCATCACTTTCATTTTGCTGCATCACAGTAGTTGCATTGCAAGATCTCACTGAGATCTAACTCAGTTGTCTGGGTTCATAGCACATCACTTCAGACAACTAAATAAAAGCCTCACACCATTTTGACATATAAACTTAACATTACAAATGTATATTTTAAATAATCTTTTAATACAATTGGATCCAGTTATAACTTTAATATGAACATACAAGGAAAGCTACTTAAGATACAAAACATGGCAAGTCCCTGCGTAACTCTGTGCGACCTCTTGTTGGTGTTGAAGCTAGGCCTGTCCTATACAGCTCCTGACCCTGGCGAGCGTCACATTCAATATTCGTTATCTACACGAGTTGCGTTGCAAGCTCTCACCAGGAGTTGTTGTAGCAGCTGCTCTCCACGACAATGCAGACATGTAATGAGACAAATAGGCATTTCATGGTGAAATGGGAACAATGCAGATATCACTACTCGGTGATGTTAACCATGGACGGGGATCTAACTTGCTTATTGAGTAACTGTACAGGTTACTGATAGACAGCCAGTTTTGTTTTACCATGTTTAGCTTATTTTTCACACACTGGTTTCCTGCTATAAATTTTACCCACCAAGCAACATAGCAGGAAGCTGTTTATTCCTGACCTGCTTTGTGCTTTTACCATCTACATGGCAGAGGCTCGGTCTCATTAGCAGCAGTTGGACTTTAAACAACTCTGGCACCCCCCCCCCCTCTCAGCCAGTCTACATAACAAAGGCTCAGTCCTTTGTTATGTAGACTAGCCGTAGTCTCAAGCCGCACCTTACCATAATAAAGGCTCAGTCCTTTGTTATGTAGGCTAGCCGTAGTCTCAAGCTGCACCTTACCAATAAAGGCTCAGTCCTTTGTTATGTAGACTAGCCGTAGTCTCAAGCCGCACCTTACCATAATACAGGCTCAGTCCTTTGTTATGTAGACTAGCCGTAGTCTCAAGCCGCACCTTACCATAATACAGGCTCAGTCCTTTGTTATGTAGACTAGCCGTAGTCTCAAGCCGCACCTTACCATAATAAAGGCTCAGTCCTTTGTTATGTAGACTAGCCGTAGTCTCAAGCCGCACCTTACCATAATAAAGGCTCAGTCCTTTGTTATGTAGACTAGCCGTAGTCTCAAGCTGCACCTTACCATAACAAAGGCTCAGTCTTTGTTATGTAGACTAGCCGTAGTCTCAAGCCGCACCTTACCATAATAAAGGCTCAGTCCTTTGTTATGTAGACTAGCCGTAGTCTCAAGCCGCACCTTACCATAATAAAGGCTCAGTCCTTTGTTATGTAGACTAGTCGTAGTCTCAAGCCGCCCCTTACCATAATGAAGGCTCAGTCCTTTGTTATGTAGACTAGCCGTAGTCTCAAGCCGCACCTTACCATAATAAAGGCTCAGTCCTTTGTTATGTAGACTAGCCGTAGTCTCAAGCTGCACCTTACCATAAAAAGGCTCAGTCCTTTGTTATGTAGACTAGCCGTAGTCTCAAGCCGCCCCTTACCATAATAAAGGCTCAGTCCTTTGTTATGTAGACTAGCCGTAGTCTCAAGCCGCACCTTACCATAATAAAGGCTCAGTCCTTTGTTATGTAGACTAGCTGTAGTCTCAAGCTGCACCTTACCATAACAAAGGCTCAGTCCTTTGTTATGTAGACTCGTCGTAGTCTCAATCCGCACTTTACCATAATATAAAAAGTGGGCCGTTCCTGGCCCATCCCCCCCCCCCTCGACCAGTATATATAGGGGTAGTATCTCTTGGAATCTCTCATTTACTTGATACAGCAAGCGTGCTGTGACGGTTCCACCTGAAGATGGAAGCTTGTGTTGCCTCCGAAACGTCGTGATTTTAATTTTATTAGACTTTTATTAATTTTATTTTTTTACCTACGTGACTTTACCGAAAAAACCTAAGAATATCTAACTTGCTTCGCTGGATACATCGCACCATATCCCCATACCAGATTTCACAAATTATCGCAGAACCCGAGGTACTCTGGCTGTTGTAGGTAAGGAAGATAATTGAAATAAACTGAACCACAAGGTGATCCGCTTTACTATAAATGAATAGCCAATCACTAGCCTCCAATTCTCACTTTTAATTGACATGATTGGTAAGGTCTCATAGAGTAAGCTATTAATTGATTATCTTGGTTCCACATCTTGTTTAGTGTACAAGTTAGTACTGTCCTACACAGCACCACTTTCAATTTGATGCTTTTACACGAGTTGCATTGCAAGATCTCACCTGGAGTTGTCATAGCAACTGCTAGGTATGCCATTCATGACATATAGAGAGACAAACAGGCATTCTAATAGGTGTTGGATGGTAAAATGGGGCCCTTAAAATATCGAGATATCACTTCTCAGTTATATCCACAAGTGGGAATCTAATCAGTTCTCTGGGTTCATAGCAGAGCCCTTAAGGCCACTGCACCAAGGCCTCACACATATTTGATTTAGGAACTTCATATCTGCAATAAAAAATATTTTATACGGTTGTCTACAACTATAATTGTGATTGAAAATACAATAGAAAGCTAAACAAGAGAAAAAACACAGAAAGCGCCTGCTAAACTAGGTGCTATCTCGTGTTGGTGTAGAAGCTGGTCCTGTCCTATGCCTAACTCCGCAGCTGAGTCAGCGTCACTTTCAAGTGTTTTATCTGCGCAAGTTGCGTTGCAAGATCTCACCAGGAGTTGTCGTAGGAGCTGCTCCCATATTATGGTGAGAATATATGTAAAGAGACACAAACACGATAATGTGGTGTGATATTAATTGATGAACTCTGTTTCTCTTCATGATTAATGAAGACCACGTGCTGGCATATTTCACTTCAGTATGATGGACATATATTTGATTGTTAGGGATCGATCTCCCGTCTTTAAACATTTCAACGAAGATACCATCACTCTGTAAACGTCTGTATTCTTTAATGGTGCACAATTGATCTCATCTCTCGAGAAACTGTTGGCTGTTGAAGGTAAAGAAGATGCGTGAAATAAACTAAACCACAAGGTGGTGCAATTTTTTTGTATTCATAGCCAACCACAAGCCTCCAATTCTCTCTTTTAATTGACATGACTGGTAAGGTCTCACAGAGTAAACTGTTAATTGATTATCTTGGTTCCACGTCTTGTTTTGTGTACAAGTAAGTACTGTCCTACACAGCCCTTCAGCTTAACCGGGATCACTTTCAATTTCCTGCATCTACAGGGGTTGCATCGCAAGATCTTGCCTAGAGTTGTCGTAGGAGCTACTCCGTATGACAAAGATGACTTGTAAAGAGAATAACAGACATTTTAATTGGTGTTGTATGGTAAAATGGATTCCTAGGAACTATTGAGATATCACTCAGTGATGTTGGCTCCAGACGGGAATCTGTCTCAGTTCTCTGGGTGCATAGCATAGCCCTTCAACCCATCAAGGCCTCACACCATATTTGATGTATGAACTTAATATTACGAATGCTTATTTTTTAAACGCTTTAATACAGTTGTCTGCAGCAATCATTTTGATTTCACGATACAATGGAAAGCTATGTAGGATAGAACAAAAAGCAAGTGCCTGCTTAAGTTAGTCCTGTCCTATACAGCTCCTTAGCTGAGCCAGCATCACTTTCAATATTCTGTCTGTACACAAGTGGCGTTGCAGGATCTCACCGGGAGTTGTAGTGGGAGCTGCTCCATATGACGGTGAATACATGCAAATATAAACAAACACGTGAATATGGTTGTGATTAATAACGTCTGAAATCGATTACTTTTGATCATTTATGCAGAATGTCCTAGAATATTACACTTCAGCGTTTGTGATGGTCCCACAGTTACAAAACCCTCCATTGAAACATTATTTATTTCCAAACGTCTTTGGAGTCGGAAATGAACTTTCCACGGAGGTTGTTGGCTGTTGCAGCTAAAGAAGATACGAAAAAATAACCATCGCTTAATCACAGTGTTGTGAGTTCTATTTTTATTGTGAAATTACCAAATCGCACCTGCAGTTCTCAATAAAAAATAGATGGGAATGTTGAGGTATAATGGAATAACGTATTAATCGATTTAATTTCATAGGGGTGAGTTTCAGTTTAAAAAGGTTTGTGATGTTATTATTTTTCGGAAATATATTGATATCATTGAACATTTGGTTATATTGCCCTGTTTTTTTATGTTTATTTGTCTTTCAGCAAGAATGTTACTTAATGCCGTGTGACACCATTTTAATTGAGAAAACAACAAGACCACGTCCTGGAATATTTCACTTCAGTATGATGGACATATGTTTGATTGTTAGGGATCTAGCTCCTGCCTTTAAACCTTTAAACTCATATACCATCAGTCTATAAACGTCTGTATTCTTGAATGGTGCACAATTTATCTCACTTCCAGAGAAACTGGTGGCTATAGGTCAAGTAGATGCATGAAATAAACTCAACCACAAGGGGATCCATTTTATTTGTATTCATAGCCAATCACTGGCCTCCAGTTCTCACTTTTAATTTACATGACTGGAAAGGACTCACAGAGTAACCTGTGAATTGATTATCTTGGTTCCACTTCTTGGTGCTGTACAAGTTAGTACTGTCCTACACAGCTCTTCAGCTTAGCCAGCATCACTTTCAATTTGCTGCACCTACACGAGTTGCATCGCAAGATCTCACCTGGAGTTGTCGTAGGAGCTGCCCAATATGACAAAGAGGACATGTAAATAGACAAACAAGCATTTTACTTGGTCAGTTTAACACGTAGGCTTTCGCGACCATCACACCGCACATAAATCTACTCTTATCAAGACGCTCATTCATCGAGCTAAAAAAGCGTCAGATGGTTACAGTCTGAGAAGTGAAATTCAACATGTTAAAGAAGCGCTGCAAATGAACGGTTACAATGATGCACAAAACAACAGGCCACTGAATACCAAAACCAAATAAAATAACAAGAGCATTGAAACTGCGAGAGTAACTGATAAACTATCCAGATGTTTGGAAAAACAAAACATCCGAGTAAGATTTGGCACGGTACATAAAATACAGAAATTAACATCGGGTACAAAAGATGTATTACCGAAGCTATCAGAAGGCGTGTACAGGATTAACTGCAGGTGTGGTAAATGTTACGTTGGGCAAACAGGACGAATGATCAGCACGAGACTAAAAGAACATCAGAGAAATATTAAATTCTCTCAAATGCAACTGTCAGCAGTAGCAGAACACGCGCGCCAACAAGGACACTCAATTGATTTTGATAATGTTGAAGTTTTGTGAAAAACTAGCTACTACTGGCCAAAACTGATTAGAAAATTTATCGAAATTGAAAGAAATCAAAATAATTTTAACCGTTCGGATAGCTACCGCCTTAGTGCTGCGTGGAAGCGAATCATCAAATAATAAATAATTAAATACATTCCGACAAAGGGCAACGAACCTCAATAGCGATTACCGTTGGTAGGGCTATTATAATAAACACAATAGACAGGAAAGACAAGTTCAAAGGGCTCGCATAATGCACATGCATAATGTACTTTGCCTTAGTAATCCCCCCCCCCCCCAACATTGTGCAAGAGCGCAGAAGGGAGGTCAAAACATCTACGCCTCTATAAAAGGAACGAAACAGGTGGACTTCTCCACAAATCTGACTGTCGCCTGATGAAGCTAGTTGTAATTACTGGTGAAACGTTGTACTCAGATTGTAAATGTCGTGGCTTGGCTCTCCAACACACCAGTGCGCTGTACTAGTATACTACACTATACACTACACTATACACTACACACTAGTGCTGTACTAGTGACGAATTGGCACGTTTTGTTTACGTGACAACCCTTACTAGTTGGCTGTGTCAGGTGGTGGTGGGTTTTAACGCCACATTTATAAATTTACGCGATCTAACCTAAAAACCTCTATTGTGGATTTTAATTGGTGTGGGATGGTAAAATGGGGTCCTAGGAACTATTGAGATATCACTCAGTGATGTTGGCTCCAGACGGAAATCTGACTTAGTTCTCTGGGTGCATAGCATAGCCCTTCAACCCACCAAGGCCTCACACCATATTTTATGTTTTAACTTAATATTACGAATGTATATATCTTTTTAAATGCTTTAATACAGTTGTCTGCAGCTATCATCTTGATTTCCAGATACAATGGAACGCTATGTAAGATAAAAAAAAACAGCAAGGGCCTGCTTAACGCAGCGCCATCTCTTGTTGGTGTAGAAGCTAGTCCTGTCCTATATAGCTCCACAGCCGAGTCAGCATCACTTTCAATATTCTGCATCTACACGAGATGTGTTGCAAGATCTCACCAGGAGTTGTCGTAGGAGCTGCTCCGTATGATGGTGAATATATGTAAAGAGACACAAACACGTTAATGTGGTGTGATTATTAATTGATGAACTCTGTTTCTCTTAATGATTAATGAAGACCACGTCCTGGAATATTTCACTTCAATATAATGGACATATGTTTGATTGTTAGGGATCGAGCTCCTGGCTTTCAACTCAGATACCATCACTCTATAAACGTCTGTATTATTGAATGGTGCACAATTTATCTCGCTGCTAGAAAAACTGGTGGCTATAGGTAATGTAGATGCGTGAAATAAACTAAACCACAAGGGGTCCATTTTATTTGTATTTATTGCCAATCAATGCCTTCAGTTCTCACTTTTAATAGACGTGACTGGTAAGGTCTCATAGAATAACTTAGCAATGGATTTATTTATATCCCCATTAATATTGGTTCCACATCTTGTTCAGTGTCGAAGTTAGTGCTGTCCTACACAGCACTTAAGCTTAGCCAGCATCACTTTCATTTTGCTGCATCACAGTAGTTGCATTGCAAGATCTCACTGAGATCTAACTCAGTTGTCTGGGTTCATAGCACATCACTTCAGACAACTAAATAAAAGCCTCACACCATTTTGACATGTAAACTTAACATTACAAATGTATATTTTAAATAATCTTTTAATACAATTGGATCCAGTTATAACTTTAATATGAACATACAAAGGAAAGCTACTTAAGATACAAAACATGGCAAGTCCCTGCGTAACTCTGTGCGACCTCTTGTTGGTGTTGAAGCTAGGCCTGTCCTATACAGCTCCTGACCCCGGCGAGCGTCACATTCAATATTCGTTATCTACACGAGTTGCGTTGCAAGCTCTCACCAGGAGTTGTTGTAGCAGCTGCTCTCCACGACAATGCAGACATGTAATGAGACAAATAGGCATTTCATGGTGAAATGGGAACAATGCAGATATCACTACTCGGTGATGTTAACCATGGACGGGGATCTAACTTGCTTATTGAGTAACTGTACAGGTTACTGATAGACAGCCAGTTTTGTTTTACCATGTTTAGCTTATTTTTTCACACACTGGTTTCCTGCTATAAATTTTACCCACCAAGCAACATAGCAGGAAGCTGTTTATTCCTGACCTGCTTTTGTGCTTTTACCATCTACATGGCAGAGGCTCGGTCTCATTAGCAGCAGTTGGACTTTAAACAACTCTGGCACCCCCCCCCCCTCTCAGCCAGTCTACATAACAAAGGCTCAGTCCTTTGTTATGTAGACTAGCCGTAGTCTCAAGCCGCACCTTACCATAATAAAGGCTCAGTCCTTTGTTATGTAGACTAGCCGTAGTCTCAAGCTGCACCTTACCATAATAAAGGCTCAGTCCTTTGTTATGTAGACTAGCCGTAGTCTCAAGCCGCACCTTACCATAATACAGGCTCAGTCCTTTGTTATGTAGACTAGCCGTAGTCTCAAGCCGCACCTTACCATAATAAAGGCTCAGTCCTTTGTTATGTAGACTAGCCGTAGTCTCAAGCTGCACCTTACCATAACAAAGGCTCAGTCCTTTGTTATGTAGACTAGCCGTAGTCTCAAGCCGCACCTTACCATAATAAAGGCTCAGTCCTTTGTTATGTAGACTAGCCGTAGTCTCAAGCCGCACCTTACCATAATAAAGGCTCAGTCCTTTGTTATGTAGACTAGCCGTAGTCTCAAGCCGCCCCTTACCATAATAAAGGCTCAGTCCTTTGTTATGTAGACTAGCCGTAGTCTCAAGCCGCACCTTACCATAATAAAGGCTGAGTCCTTTGTTATGTAGACTAGCCGTAGTCTCAATCCGCACCTTTCCATAATAATAAAAAGTGGGCCGTTCCTGGCCCATCACCCCCCACCCCTGACCAGTATATATACGGGGTAGTATCTCTTGGAATCTCTCATTTACTTGATACAGCAAGCGTGCTGTGACGGTTCCACCTGAAGATGGAAGCTTGTGTTGCCTCCGAAACGTCGTGATTTTAATTTTATTAGACTTTTATTAATTTTATTTTTTACCTACGTGACTTTACCGAAAAAACCTAAGAATATCTAACTTGCTTCGCTGGATACATCGCACCATATCCCCATACCAGATTTCACAAATTATCGCAGAACCCGAGGTACTCTGGCTGTTGTAGGTAAAGAAGATAAGTGAAATAAACTGAACCACAAGGTGATCCGTTTTACTTTCATGAATAGCCAATCACTAGCCTCCAATTCTCACTTTTAATTGACATGATTGGTAAGGTCTCATAGAGTAAGCTATTAATTGATTATCTTGGTTCCACATCTTGTTTAGTGTACAAGTTAGTACTGTCCTACACAGCACCACTTTCAATTTGATGCATCTACACGAGTTGCATTGCAAGATCTCACCTGGAGTTGTCATAGCAACTGCTCCGTATGCCATTCATGACATATAGAGAGACAAACAGGCATTCTAATAGGTGTTGGATGGTAAAATGGGGCCCTTAAAATATCGAGATATCACTTCTCAGTTATATCCACAAGTGGGAATCTAATCAGTTCTCTGGGTTCATAGCAGAGCCCTTAAGGCCACTGCACCAAGGCCTCACACCATATTTGATTTATGAACTTCATATCTGCAATAAAAAAAATATTTTATACGGTTGTCTACAACTATAATTGTGATTGAAAGATACAATAGAAAGCTAAACAAGAGAAAAAACACAGAAAGCGCCTGCTAAACTAGGTGCTATCTCGTGTTGGTGTAGAAGCTGGTCCTGTCCTATGCAACTCCGCAGCTGAGTCAGCGTCACTTTCAATGTGTTTTATCTGCGCGAGTTGCGTTGCAAGATCTCACCAGGAGTTGTCGTAGGAGCTGCTCCATATTATGGTGAGAATATATGTAAAGAGACACAAACACGATAATGTGGTGTGAATATTAATTGATGAACTCTGTTTCTCTTCATGATTAATGAAGACCACGTGCTGGCATATTTCACTTCAGTATGATGGACATATATTTGATTGTTAGGGATCGATCTCCCGTCTTTAAACATTTCAACGAAGATACCATCACTCTGTAAACGTCTGTATTCTTTAATGGTGCACAATTGATCTCATCTCTCGAGAAACTGTTGGCTGTTGAAGGTAAAGAAGATGCGTGAAATAAACTAAACCACAAGGTGGTGCAATTTTTTTGTATTCATAGCCAACCACAAGCATCCAATTCTCACTTTTAATTGACATGACTGGTAAGGTCTCACAGAGTAAACTGTTAATTGATTATCTTGGTTCCACGTCTTGTTTTGTGTACAAGTAAGTACTGTCCTACACAGCCCTTCAGCTTAACCGGGATCACTTTCAATTTCCTGCATCTACAGGGGTTGCATCGCAAGATCTTGCCTAGAGTTGTCGTAGGAGCTACTCCGTATGACAAAGATGACTTGTAAAGAGAATAACAGACATTTTAATTGGTGTTGTATGGTAAAATGGATTCCTAGGAACTATTGAGATATCACTCAGTGATGTTGGCTCCAGACGGGAATCTGTCTCAGTTCTCTGGGTGCATAGCATAGCCCTTCAACCCATCAAGGCCTCACACCATATTTGATGTATGAACTTAATATTACGAATGCTTATTTTTTAAACGCTTTAATACAGTTGTCTGCAGCAATCATTTTGATTTCACGATACAATGGAAAGCTATGTAGGATAGAACAAAAAGCAAGTGCCTGCTTAAGTTAGTCCTGTCCTATACAGCTCCTTAGCTGAGCCAGCATCACTTTCAATATTCTGTCTGTACACAAGTGGCGTTGCAGGATCTCACCGGGAGTTGTAGTGGGAGCTGCTCCATATGACGGTGAATACATGCAAATATAAACAAACACGTGAATATGGTTGTGATTAATAACGTCTGAAATCGATTACTTTTGATCATTTATGCAGAATGTCCTAGAATATTACACTTCAGTGTTTGTGATGGTCCCACAGTTACAAAACCCTCCATTGAAACATTATTTATTTCCAAACGTCTTTGGAGTCGGAAATGAACTTTCCACGGAGGTTGTTGGCTGTTGCAGCTAAAGAAGATACGAAAAAATAACCATCGCTTAATCACAGTGTTGTGAGTTCTATTTTTATTGTGAAATTACCAAATCGCACCTGCAGTTCTCAATAAAAAATAGATGGGAATGTTGAGGTATAATGGAATAACGTATTAATCGATTTAATTTCATAGGGGTGAGTTTCAGTTTAAAAAGGCTTGTGATGTTATTATTTTTCGGAAATATATTGATATCATTGAACATTTGGTTAAATTGCCCTGTGTTTTATGTTTATTTGTCTTTCAGCAAGAATGTTACTTAATGCCGTGTGACACCATTTTAATTGAGAAAACAACATGACAAAATGTTATTAATGTCACTTCCCTTTCTGGAATAATCCCCAAAAATGAAATTCTGCTTCATCTCAAAACGGATCTCAGCATGATTTTCATATCCCTATATCCTTCCATGCCCATTCAACTTGAATCCAAATTTTGTTGAGCAAAGATGCTCATCCCGTCCTATGCGTCTGCTCGGCCGAATCAGAATAGCTTAAAACGTGCGACGTAGACACGAGTTGTGGTGCGTGATCTCACGGGGAGTCGTGGTTGCTGCTCCGTATGATGGCGATTACATGTAGAGAGACACAGACAGAATAATATGCCTTGTTTATTCATTCCTGAATAATACTGCTATTCATGATTCATACTGAATATATGTCCTAGAATATTTCACTTCAGTGTTATGTACAATAATTTTTTGACAGGGAAAAACGTTTATGCCTCGACAAAACTAAAAGCTAAAATACCATTACTTTCCAAATGTGTGCTTTATGGATCATAAACAAACTATATTACCACCAGTGCAAATAGGGGATGTTACAGATAATGAAATGTGCAAGCATAAAAAAGTCATGATCACAAGGTAGTGCATTTCCTTTTTTTTATGATTGTTGAATGTGAGTCTTCAGTTGTCAGTAGTAATACAGGTAATTGTTAAGGTGTCATGGAATACCCAATTAAATATATTCTACAGTGAGGGAAAAAAGCATTTGACCCCCTGCTGATTTTGTACGTTTGCCCACTGACAAGGAAATTATCAGTCTATAATTTTAATGGTAGGTTTATTTGAACAGTGAGAGACAGAATAACAACAACAAATCCAGAAAAACGCATGTCAAAATGTTATCAATTGATTTGCATTTTAATGAGTGAAATAAGTATTTGACCCCCTCTCAATCAGAAAGATTTCTGGCTCCCAGGTGTCTTTTATACAGGTAACGATCTGAGATTAGGAGCACACTCTTAAAAGGAGTGCTCCTAATCTCAGCTTGCTACCTGTATATAAGACACCTGTTCACAGAAGCAATCAATCAATCAGATTTCAAACTCTCCACCATGGCCATGAGAGCTCTCCAAGGATGTCAGGGACAAGATTGTAGACCTACACAAGGCTGGAATGGGCTACAAGACCATCGCCAAGCAGCTTGGTGAGAAGGTGACAACAGTTGGTGCGATTATTCGCAAATGGAAGAAACACAAAAAAAACTGTCAATCTCCCTCGGCCTGGGGCTCCATGCAAGACCTCACCTCGTGGAGTTGCAATGATCATGAGAACGGTGAGGAATCAGCCCAGAACTACACGGGAAGATCTTGTCAATGATCTCAAGGCAGCTGGGACCATAGGCACCAAGAAAACAGTTGGTAACACACTACGCCGTGAAGGACTGAAATCCTGCAGCGCCCGTAAGGTCCCCCTGCTCAAGAAAGCAGATATACATGCCCGTCTGAAGTTTGCCAATGAACATCTGAATGATTCAGAGGATAGCTGGGTGAAAGTGTTGTGGTCAGATGAGACCAAAATGGAGCTCTTTGGCATCAACTCAACTCGCCGTGTTTGGAGGGGGAGGAATGCTCCCTATGACCCCAAGAACACCATCCCCACCGTCAAACATGGAGGTGGAAACATTATTCTTTGGGGGTGTTTTTCTGCTAAGGGGACAGGACAACTTCACCGCATCAAAGGGACGATGGACGGGGCCATGTACCGTCAAATCTTGGGTGAGAACCTCCTTCCCTCAGCCAGGGCATTGAAATGGGTCGTGGATGGGTATTCCATCATGACAATGACCCAAAACACACGGCCAAGGCAACAAAGGAGTGGCTCAAGAAGAAGCACATTAAGGTCCTGGAGTGGCCTAGCCAGTCTCCAGACCTTAATCCCGTAGAAAATCTGTGGAGGGAGCTGAAGGTTCGAGTTGCCAAACGTCAGCCTCGAAACCTTAATGACTTGGAGAAGATCTGCAAAGAGGAGTGGGACAAAATCCCTCCTGAGATGTGTGCAAACCTGGTGGCCAACTACAAGAAACGTCTGACCTCTGTGATTGCCAACAAGGGTTTTGCCACCAAGTACTAAGTCATGTTTTGCAGAGGGGTCAAATACTTTTCCCTCATTAAAATGCAAATCAATTTATAACATTTTTGACATGCGTTTTTTCTGGATTTATTTGTTGTTATTCTGTCTCTCACTGTTCAAATAAACCTACCATTAAAATTATAGACTGATCATTTCTTTGTCAGTGGGCAAACGTACAAAATCAGCAGGGTATCAAATATTTTTTTGCCTCACTGTACGTCTTGTTTCGTGTAGAGGCTCGGCCTGTCCTAGAGTGAATATTCACAAGTTAGTGATCACGTTCCTGCCTCTACACAACCACTGATTGACAAACACTGAGCGGCCGTGCTTACTAGCAGTCTATGTACATGATTAACACAAATATACCACGTAATAAATACAACAATTTACATACGTATTGTTTGATCATCTGTATAACTAATACATTTTTATCGATTAATAATGCTAATTTAGACGTATATCCCGGTGTTGTGGCTGCACGTTGTTTTACTAATCACGTTTCCTTCTTTACAAAACCTTTATAAGATATAATAATATCAACTTTAAACGCCTTCTCATCCACTGCTGAGGAAAGGTTTAATTCATATTTATAACCCTGAAAATATTGTTTAAATATATCATACGATTTCATTTTCAAATCCCACAAAGATAACCATGGTAACTGAACTTATCTGTGGTTCATATATATTTGCAACAACATAGAAGCATATGCATCAATAAGTGCAGTAAGAACCATACTCACCACAATCCGGGCCATAAAAGGCTCCGTAGCAAATGCACGAGTAGGGGAGCCAAATGTCCCACTCAAACGTCCACCCCTCTATGCAGTATCCTCCGTATTGGCACGGGTTCGATGCACACGCAGGGACTGCAGATACAGGTATCACAATAATGCCATGGATCTGGTTATTCTTTGCATCTCATAACGTCGTTGATTCGATTCTCTGTTGCAGCATCGGTTAAACTTGACAATTTGAATCACTCAATACTTATTTCGGCCATTGTCAATCCAAAGCTGGAATAAAAAAGTCTGACTGTATTTCACCATGCTCGTCAGTGTTGCATGGTAAAAGGAGGGTGGGTCTGGGAAAAAAATTTCAGGATCGCATCAACGATGTTAGCCATGGTCTGGGGATCTAACTCCGGTCAATAGGTTTATAGCACAGTCCCACGAATGGACCGTATTTGCCGCCCATGTATTAATTAACTAGAAAAATTGGACAAGTCCTCTACGTTGTCTATTGTCAGAGAGGTGAACTTTTACATCTAATACAGAGCTGTATAAGAAAAGTAACTGCCAAGTGCCTGCTTAACTCGGTGCTATCTCTTGTTGGTGTGGAAGCTAGTCCTATCATACACAGCTCCATAGCTGAGTCAGCATCAATTTCAATATCCTGTCTGTACACAAGTTGCGTTGTAAGAGCTCAATGGAAAATGTACCTTCAGCTACTCCATATGATGGGGAAGACATGAAAAAACAAATCGACATTTGATGGTGCAATGGGAACACCACCATTTCAGACATCACTCGATGTTTACCGTGAACAGGGATCTAAAGTGGCGATACAACGCCACCTATGAACAGAAAGTGCGAGGGAAACAACAGCAACAACAACAGGGATCTAACTCACTTCGCTGGGTTCATCGCTCAGTCCTGCATAGCACTGCATCAAAGCCCCCGCACTGCATCTGCTTTCCGAACTTAATATCGCAAGTCAACATTTTTTATGAATCTTGTTTTCTACAGTTGTCTAGAGTGATATATGTATTTTGATATATACAGAAGAGTAATATAAGGACAAGAATCCGCAAGTGCCTGCTAAGTGCTATCTTGTTGGTGTAGAAGCTCGTCCTGTCCTACACAGCTCCATTAGCCGAGTCAGCATCACTTTCAATATTGTGTCTGTAAACAAGTTGTTTTGCATGAACCCACCAGCAGTTGTAGTGAGAGCTGCTCCATATGGTGAATACATGCAAAGAGAGACAAACACGTACATATGTCTGAACGCTATAACTCGTCATGATTAATGCAGAATATTTGTCCTAGAATAAAAAAACTTAAGTGTTATATGCCAAGGTCCCACAGTGGCAAAACACTCTATTGAAACATCATTGCTTTTAATGTATTTTTGGAGACGAGTGGAAAAATGTAAAATAATCCAATATGCCGAATTAATTGGGTTCCACATCTTGTTTGACATACAAGCTAGTCCTGTCTTACGCAGCTGTTCAGCTTAACAAGCATTACTTTAAATAGTCTGCATCTGCAAGAGTTACATTACAAGATCTCACAGAGAGTTGTAGAAGCTGCTCCGTATAACACTGAGGACATGTAAAGAGACAGACGCTCTAATTGGTGTTGGATGGTAAACTGGGGTCCTCGGAACTATTGCGATATCACTCCCATCAGTAATGTCGGCCACGAACGGGAATTTAGACTCTGGGTTCATATCACAGCCCTTCAAGCCACTACATCAAGGCCTCACGCTATATTTGATTTATGAACTTATTAATTTAAATGGAATTTTTTTTTATTCTATTGTCTACATCTATAATTGTGATCGGACGATAAATTGGAAAGCTGTGTAAAAGAAAAGAATATAGCAAGTGCCTGTGGAAATAGGCGCAATCTCCTGTTGGTATCGAAGCTAGGACTGGTACACAGCTCTTGAGCTGAGTCAGCGTCACATATAATATTCTTGATCTACACAAGTTGCGTTGCAAGATCTCACCGGAAGTTGTCGTAGCAGCTGCTCCGTACAACAATGAAGACATGTAATGAGACAAATAGGAATGTGAGAGTGAAATGGGAACATAGCACCAATTCAGATATCACTACTCAGTGATGTTAACATGGACAGGAATCTAACTCACTTTGCTGGGTTCATCGCACAGTCCTGCAGAACATTGCACCACAAAAAATGTTTAAATGTTATTTTCTATAGTTGCCTATCGTAATAGACGTTGTTTGAAAATGCAATGGGAAGCTAGATTACAAAAAGAACCAGCAAGTGCCTGCTTAACTAGGTGCTACCTTGTTGGTGTAGAAGCTAGTCCTGTCCGACACAGCTCCATAGCTGAGTCAGCATCACTTTCAATATGCTGCATCTAAAAGTTGTGTTGCAATATCTTACCGGGAGTTGTTGTAGCAGCTGCTCCGCATGATGGTGAATATATGTAAAGAGACACAAACATGTTCACATGGTGTGATCATTAAGTGATGAACTCTAGTGTTCCAAAGGATTTATGTAGAAAATACGTCCTAGAATACTTCAGTATGATGCTCATTCTATTGCTCGGGGTTGTGCTCCTGCTTTTGCAAACCTTTCAAGTCAGATACCATAACTTTATAATCGCCCGTTTTCGAGAATGGTGCACAATGTATCTGACCTCCCAAGAAACTGGTGGCTGTAGGTAAAGAACATGCAAAAAGAAACTCAACCACAAGGTGGTCCATTCTACTTGTATTCGTAGACAATCACTGCCTCCAGTTCTCACTTTTAATTGACATGACTGGAAAGATCTCATAGGATAAGTCCATGGATAAATAACCATGGACTGGAATCTAACTCAGTCCTTTAGACCACTCATAGCACAGTCTTTCAGACCACTGCACCAAAGCTCCAAAACATGTTATTATATCATGGGACCCTTTTGCCAGTATCAAAATAAAAACAATAAGAATAGGTTTTACCCTTTCTGACAATACAACAGGTGTTAAGATGTCCACACACCAAATATTAACCTTTGCAGGGAATGAAGTCTGTATTAATCACACGTTCTTGTGGTGAACGTACAAACATGCTCTAATAATAGATGGCTTTGTCTTTGAAACTGATTGGCCTACACCAGAGACAGCCTTCTCTATGGCCTAGCTTCACCAGCGTTAGACAAGAGAATGCCAAAAGGCGAAAAGTACAAAGACAACGCACATATCGGAGCATTTATACGTTTTTTTATGAACATATTTTCTAAAATAATAGTTTTTCTTATTATTAAACTGTCGTATGCAAACTTTGATTTAAAGCTTTCGTGACTGCAGGGATTCATATTCTTGGTTCTTTCGGTAAAGTCACGTAGAAGGGAAATAATAAAATAATAATACAATTATAAAAAATATTGTTTTATATTAAAAAAGTATATAAAAATATTGTTTAATATTTGTATTATTTTATTATTTCCCTTCTGCGTGACTTTACCGAAAGAACCAAGAATATGTCGTATGCAATTGCCTATCGTTACAGATGTGAACTTGAAGATACAATGGAAAGACATGTGAACCTTATGGCGGGACCCCGGGGTCCCATAAGCCCCCGGCTCTCGCATAAACTGCGTTGCGACGTCATTTTGTCTGTTGAAGGCGAACGATACGAACAATCTATTCCTCTCGACGAGCTCTACGCGATGCGCTCAACAAGGTTTCAACGTTTTGTTTCTTCTGCGCATTCGTCCTCGCTGCGCTTGGACGACATGACAACAGAATGATCCGCACCAGGTGGGTCGCGGCGTTTATGTGCATGGTGGGGCGGAGTCGCCAAAATACATTGACTAATTACGATTCTGACTTCCGTTTATTCGGAACCCCAGGGTCGCTCGTCCTGTCCTACACAGCTTCTCATCTGAGCCAGTGCCACTTTAAATATGCCGTGTTAACACACGTTGCATTGCAAGATCTCACCAACAGTTGACCACGGAGCTGCTCCACATGACGATGCATACATTGTATTGCAGTGTCTAGACGAGGAAAGGGAGCCCGAGGACCAATTCAGATACCACTCGTCAATTATGTTAACCATGGACTGAAATCGCAGTCCTTGAGATCATTAGTAGCCCAGCCCTTCAGTCCCCCACACCAAAGCTCCAGCCCGTTTTTGTTTTATGAACAGATTGCCACAAATTTCCATTTTCTTTAAATGTTTTATGCAATTTCAGATAGTTCTCGGTGTGAATTTGAAGCAACAATGGAAAACCTTGTCAAAACAACTATCAACATGTGTCTGCTTAACTAGCGATATGTCTGGTTGATGTAAAACAGGGGTCCTCAAACTACGGCCCGCGGGCCACATACGGCCCGCCGAGGACATTTATCCGGCCCATGGTCACTAATTGGGCTGCGCTTGTGAGCACTAATTGGGCTGCGCTGGTGAGCACTAATTGGGCTGCGCTTGTGAGCACTCATTGGGCTGCGGTGGCGAGCACTGATTGAGCTGAGGCGGTGGGCACTGATTGAGCTGCGGCGGTGGGCACTCATTGGGCTGCGCTGGTGAATGGTTCAATGGGCCAATTGACTGGACTTGCCCCCCAGGCCTAAGGCTGCCAGCCCTCCCCTGGCTGCGCTTGACTGGCTCTCCCTCCCTCAGCTCCCTCACTTGCCCCTCGGCTCCACTCCCAGTGATATTCCTGTGTGCTGGGGATGTACTGCGATCTGTGAACAAAACTGCAGGTGTAATTAACTTTTTAATGGCACCCGCACCAGTGTGAGCCTGGGGTAAAAGCGGAGTTCCCCCAATCAGACTGCATTGATGGGCAGTGCAGTCTGTATGTCTCTGTGTGGGCAAAGTTATTGCTGGTATATTGTTTTTGTAGCGCTGTATATATATTGGTATTTTACTAATAGCAATTTTGAGTCCCTAGGAAACAATGATGTCAAGAAAGAGAAAAAGTAGACTCGGAGTGTAGGATATTCAAAGAAGAGTGGACTTATGATTACTTTTTCATGCAGTACAAGGAAAGAGCTGTGTGTCTGATATGCCAGAATATAGTGTCTGTGTTCAAAGAATACAATTTACGTCGACACTATGAAACTCAACATAAAGATAAATATGATTGTTTGGTCGGAGAAGTGAGAAAAACTGAAAAATACATTAACAACTCAGCAAAATACTTTTGTGAAGCAGAAGCAGCTAAATATTTCATCACTGCGAGCAAGTTTTCAAGTTGCCAAGCTAATAGACCATTCGTGGAGGGAGAATTTGTTAAAGAATGCCTTCTTTCTGTTGCCAAATAGATGTGTCCAGAGAAGGTCGATTTATTTAGTACAGTGAGTCTTTCAGGACCTACAATTACACGGAGGATTGAAGAAATGGGAGACAATTTGCATCGGCATTTGCAAAACTCCACAAAAAAACTTTCCTATTTTTCCTTGGCACTCGACGAAAGCAATGATGTTCGTGATTCTGCACAACTTCTAATTTTTATTCGTGGGACGAATGACTATTTTGAAGTCACAGAAGAGCTTGCTGCACTGCAAAGCATCAAAGGAACAACTACAGGAGAGGATATCTATGAAAAAGTTTGCCAAACTGTGAATGGTTTGGAGCTGAACTGGGCTAAACTAGCCAGTGTGACAACTGATGGTGCTCCTAGCATGGTGGGGTCTAAGAAAGGAGTAATTGCTCGCATTAACCAAGAGATGGACAAACATAACCATTCTCATCCAATAGCCATATACTGCCTCATCCACCAACAAGCACTGTGTAGTAAATCACTGAAGTGGGACTCTGTTATGAAAATTGTGGAATCTTGTGTTAGCTTCATTAGAGCTCATGCACTAAACCACAGACAATTTCAGGAATTTCTGTCTGAACTAAATGTTGACTATGAAGATGTTCTGTACCACACAGAAGTCCGTTGGCTGAGTCGAGGGAGAGTTTTGAAACGTTTCTATGACTTACTTCCACAGATTACAGCTTTTCTGCTTTAAAAAAACAAAGAAGTACCAGAGCTCAATGATGCAGAATGGAAATTGCACCTTGCCTTTCTGACAGATGTAACAGAGCTACGCAACAGTTTCAATGTGCAACTTCAAGGAAAGGGGAAGCTCATCTGTGATATGCAATCACATGTCAAAGCATTTGAAGTAAAATTAGGCCTCCTCATCAAACAAGTTAAGGAGGAAAACTTCTGCCATCTCCCCACAACTCAAAATCTGTTAGTGGAAAAACCATTGGTTGCGATTCCCAAACAAAACATGTGTGGATTCACTGGAAAAATTGCAAAAGGAGTTCCAATTTAGATTTAAAGAGCTTCATCTCCATGAACAGGACATACAGCTTTTCCGTAACCCATTTTCTATTGACATTGAAAATGTGGATACAATTTACCAAATGGAACTGGCTGAACTGCAGAATTGTGACTCTGAAAGACGCATTCAAGTCAAGCAGCCTTCATAATTTCTATGCATCTCTCCCCTCTGAGACATATCCTCATCTCAGGAACCATGCACTCAAAATGGCAACCATCTTTGGCAGCACTTATGTCTGTGAACAGACTTTTTCCAGAATGAAACATTTGAAATCTCCAACCAGATCTAGACTAACGGATGCACACTTGCATCACTTGTTACGACTAGCAGTGACAAATATGGAACCAGACATTGACCATCTCATTAGCCAAAAGCAGGCCCATAGTTCCCATTGAAATACTGGCAAGTTTGTTGATTTAACTTTACTTGTTCTTCATTTTAAATATTGTATTTGTTCCCGTTTTGTTTCTTCACTTCAAAATAAGATATATGCAGTGTGCATAGGAATTTGTTCATAGTTTTTTTTAACTATAGTCCGGCCCTCCAACGGTCTGAGGGACAGTGAACTGGCCCCCTGTTTAAAAAGTTTGAGGATCCCTGATGTAGAAGCTTGTCCTTCCTACACAGCTCCTCATCTGAGCCAGCATTTTCATAAGATGCATTATTGCGTTTTGCCTAAGATGCATTGCAAGGTCTCACTGGAAGTTGAAGTGAGACCTTCTCCGTAGCATGGTGGAAAAATGTTTTATTTTATTTCTAACTACGTGACTTTACCGTAAGAACTAAAGAGTATGGTGTGCTTGCTATTGGATGACAATACAGTTAATCATTGCTCAGCACGGGTTCTGGATTTGTATATTCGCGAGTTACAAAATGGATACGAATTCCTTATTCGCGACCTGCCAGGCTCGAGTATGCACGAGTGTACGTAGTGCCAGACCACCAACACCGGGGAGATGCATGTGTAGTGGTGACACGCAACGTTTTATATTTGAAACTATCTGCGAAGATTCGGCATGCCCGCTCGGCTGCCCACTTAGTCGTGAAGTCTCGCAGTGATCCCGCTCTGAACTCGCTATTGTGCACTTTTACTTTATAGGTACTTACAGTCGACTCGTTTATACATTTTGGAATAAACGAGTCCACTGTGAGGTCTATTACAAATGGGAATGCAATCAAGGAAGGTGTTGCGGCTAGCGCTTCCCAGTGTTAAGATTATAAGAACGAAGCATTGTTATCAAACACCTGCATCTCCGGAGCAGTCATCCTCTTGAATTCCTCACCGTCACCACCACCACCACCGTTTCAAATCATCATCATCATCAAAGGTGTCCCAAATACTGTGTCACTCCATCTAAAAATCTCAGTTCATCATATTATCTTTCAGGCCTATAGTAAACATTGCAAGCATAATTTGTAAATGTCTATATATATTCCTTGATTTGGTTTTAATATCCTACAAAGATAAGTATGGTGACAGTTAAATTGTATTTCTTTTTTACGTTTTAACATGACCTAACACAAAATATCCCAATTATTAATTCTAACTCTGGACTTGGAGTGACCACGCCCGGCCGTCATTGTCTCCCCAGTGGTGATATTCGAACACCACACTAGTTACTCGATTGAGGCTGAGTCGACATAGGGGAAGCCCAGGACCGGTTAAAATAATCGTCAACGGTGGTGGCCGTGAGCGGGAATCGAACTCGGCTCGCCGGATTCGTAGGGCAGCGAGCTAACCACTACACTACTGCTCCCCCCACACACACACACGCGCGCGCGTCCATGGGTACACATACACGCGCGTCCATAGGTACACATACACGCGCTTGCTACAAACACACACAACTTTCAGGGTGCGTACGGCAGTAAACGACTGAAATAATAAAGCAATGCTGCGCGAAGAACGCCTTAGAGCTGCAACACGCGGAGGGTTGGGGGGGGGGGTGACATGAGCAGGCACACTCCGTTACTCTTCCGCATACGGGTCACATGACAGAGATGAGACGTCACAGCTCACTTGGCGTGCAAAATATATGCATTATTGCGCCCCCCCCCCAAAAAAAAATATATACAAAAGTGTCTTTTTATAATATTTGTATGGTGTACAGTCTGGAAAGTACCCACATGGCAAATTTAAAGTTGTTTGCATGTCGGGAAGTCCACTAAACATTTTGAACAGACACACATAATCACAAATTTCCCTTTTATATATGTAGATTTACAAAAAGACAAACACTCATGCACAACGAAGTACAACTGGAACCATACTCACACCAATATTCACAATCCGGGCCAGACCAGAACATGCTGCAGTAGCACCAGTAGGGCCGTGGAGGGTCCCACCCGAACGTCCACTCCGCAATGCAGGTCCCGCCGTTTTGGCACGGGCTCGATGCGCATGCAGATCCTATACATACCGGTACCACAATTATGCTTTGGATCTGGTAGTTTTTTTCATCTCATCATCAGTTCACGCAGTATGCTGTCTGTAGCAGCGTGATTTAATCTGACAATGTCAGCCTCTTAAAAGTAGGAATAAATGTCAGAGTTTGTCACTCCACTGCTTGATGAAAGCCTCGGGGTTGTCTGACCATACCTCACCGTGCTGATCAGTCATGGTTGGTGACCAATGCAGACATCACTCATCACGGATTTTAGCTATGGTCAGGGATATAACTTAGTTGGCTGGCTTCATCGCACAGTCCTGTGAACCAGTCCACCACTGCCGCCAGGGCTGTCCGTAGGTGGGGGGGGGCGGGTGTGGGACCCGGGGAAAATGCCACTGTCTGGGTCCCCCGACGCCTTCCAACTAAATTGCAATGATTACATCTCACACCATGACTTCGAAACGCGGGACCCCCCAAAGCGCAGCGCCTAGGGCGGTCGCCCCGATTCACCGTACCCGAGGGACGGCTCTGCCTGCCACCCCGCCCCTTCCATTACACTCATATTTGTTTTATAATTTTTGTAAATTAAAACTATAGTAAGCTACATTCATTTACGCACAGCCCCTCAGACCACGGTACCAAGGCCTTAGAGCGTATTTTTTTGTGAAATTTACATTAAAAAAAGTTTTGGTTTTAGATAGTTGCCTCCAGTTATACATGCAAATTTGAAGATGCAATGAAGAGCTATGTATGAAAAACAACCAGCAGGTTCCTGCCTCTAACCAGGTGCTATCTGTTATTGGAGCAGAAGCTAATTCGGTCTGATACAACTCCTCAGCTGATCCGCAATCACTTTACATTATCTGCGTTTACATCAGTTGCATTGCATGAACTCACCGGGAGATATCGTGGGAACTGATCCATATGACGGCGAGTGCATGTAAAGAGAGACAAACACATTAGTATGGTGTGATTATTACATTCTGACCTCTACTGCTCCTCATTATTTATGCATCATATTTGTTCTAGAATATTACACTTTATTAGATATGTGCAAGTATTCTCGTGTTATTGATCAAGCTCCTGTCTTCATACAAACTGTCAGCTGAAAAAGCATGACTTTCCAAATCCAGGAAAGCCGCACTGAGTTGTAAGACTCTTTTTCAGGAGGGTCCTGCTGCTGTATTGGGTTTTCATTTTCAGATGTTTTCATCCAATTAATGATGAGTTGTGTTTATTATACAAGTGGGGAGTAAACCGGAGAACCCGGAGAAAACCCAAAGTGACAATGTTCTATCTCTGTACAGATGGAAACAGATGGTGATTAGTCCTAGTTGCTATACTGCCTTCTCCTGGCGAGCTCGGGTATGGCTCCTCCACGCCCACTGGAATTGAGTTTTACAAATCTCTGTTTCATGATGTGTGCAAATATGCTCACCACCAATGGTATTGGTGGCCATTGCAGCCAATTAAGATACATAAAAATAACAAAAGAATAACACGAGTTTGTAGTTCTCATCGTGAAGATGTGATTGAAGTCTCATGGAATGACATGGATGCTATTACATGCCCATTTAGCTGGCTTCCAATGCTAGTTTCGTATAGAAGCTCGTCCTGTCCTACACGGCTCCAGATCTGATCCAGCATCACTTTCAATTTGCTGTTTGTACACAGGTTGCTTTCAGACAAATCTGTAACTAACGAGAAAACCTATCATAGAAACATAGTGTAGGCCAGAATACCATAAGTTAAAAAACACTCAGAAATATGTACAATAAGCACTGAGCCTTTATGCACTATGTAAGAACTATATCAGAAATTCCTGGAGAACTGCTTTGTGATTCTCTTGTCGAGATGTTAACTACCTCGCGTGGTTTACAGGAGGTCGTGGGTTCGATCGCGACTAATGCCTGTATATTGGGAGATTGCATGTTCTCCCCGTGGTTGCGTGTATTTTTCACCATTATTCACTGCTGCCAAGTGTGGAAACAATATATGTAGAGTCCCTACGTTTACACTATGCGACCCATTAACTTGTTTGAGAAACGTTATCCATCCTGTGATTTAAGGCAATCATCTGTTTGGATGATGTTCATGATGTCCCTTTGAAACGTTTATTTTTCTAGATCAATATTTTATCTCCTATCGCTACTCGTTAATCCTGTTATCGGTCTCAGTATGGCTATTTCAAATATTCCTCACATCTGGTTGACTTCCTCTTTCAGTGTCTAGGGTTTTGCATTGTACAACGGTTAGTTTCAAAGAACACACAAACGTCTACAAATTGTGCATCATGAAAAAACCATGAGCAGTTCCATTGTGGTTCCCTCTTATCTGAGGTCACCAGCAAAATAAATTTGAGCAAATGTGACCCGAATGACAGACAGCAGTGATACAGCAACGTAAACTCAAATGTATTGTGATTGTGACCTATTACAAGCCAACCAGAATTCACTTCTTCAGGAACTGATTATGTTTTTTGCATGCTGTGCAGAGGCCGAGCACTTTTTTCACGTTTGTGTTATTGAAACATGTTTTTTTGGCCTGCACAATTGTTCTATTGATGGGTTTTACTCCTCGCTTACAGATATGATGATTGTACAATTGGATGGATACAAGAAAGATATAATATAGCCTAACGTTTAACTTCCTTCCAATTTATTTACCATCCAAAATAACTGCAGTGACAGTAAAACATTATGTATAGTTAATTTAAGACGTACAAAAAAAAGGAAATGCACTATAATGTACAGTATAAGTGCATACTCTTAGTTTTTTCGGTAAAGTCAAAAAACTAAGAGTATGAATCCTTGCAGTCACGAAAGCTTCAAATCTAGAAGTATAAGTGCACTTACCGGGATTTTCGCAATATTGTCCATACCAATCTGAGGGACAATTGCACCAGTAGTATCCTGCGAAAATCCAGTCTAAATCTTGGCAGGTTGCTCCATTGAGGCACGGGCTTGATTGGCACCCCACGGCTAGAAACGGGAATCATAACAAGGTCAGCCGCTTAATGAAGGTAATTACAGTCATAAGAACTGACCCGTTCCCATCGGCTGGTCAGTGTAGCTTAGTTCAGATATCACTGGTCACTGGGTCACTGATGTTAAACGTGGCCTGGGAATTTAACTCATGTCGCCGGATATTCACAGTGCAGTGCATTTACTATTATAATGAGTACAGAAAGCTAAAATCAGCCTCGTCTGGACTGACATTGGTGAAGCAAAATATTGTTTTACCACTCGGGACACCAACGTATAAAACCGAAATCGGTTAACTCAATTCCACGTCTGCACTCAACAATATAAATCAATAGAGGGAGCGTGGGGTCGAGTAAGAAAAGTGGGCGCAGAGGGGGGCGAGGACAGGCGTTGCGTGGATGGCAGCATGGAGGACAAGAGGGACCGGAGACAAAGCAATCACCGAGGAGAGTTTGTGTGTGTGCACGTGTGAGCACGTTGTGTGAAAGTGTAAATGTCAACACTGCAATGCAGTATTCAATTGTTAAACATTCTTACCCTGCAATATCCCCTGAGCACCCTCTGCTATTTTACCGATCCTGCTGATTCCATGAATGGCAGAACCAGAGATACTGGGAAATCAGAGGCCATAGTTTACGTGCGATGAAGGCGGCTTTTAATTACCATACTTCACCATGCTGGTCAGAGCGGGCTGACAAACATTATTTGCTGGCAACGGAACTCACCATGATAGACAAGCCAATCTCCAATGTACCCTACTCTAGTATTCAAGTGTGGGTTATTCTTTCTCTTCAAATCATGTAATAAATATCTACAAACTCTCAGTGATCTCCAGTATTATTTTTTTCCCTTCATTTATTTTACAATGTACTTTTGTCTTCATGGACTCCCTGTAATCCTTCCCATTCTACTCCCACGGCCATTTCGGTCTGCACAAACTATCAGTCTTTGTTCAGGTACATCCATGCACTAATTTTCGAAAGGCCTCCATAATTTCATATTTCCTGTTCACTACAACCTGCCTGCATGGTGCGTAGCCTTATACCATTTTGAGCATTCCATCTTCAGTATTTCATGTCACCAAAATCAAGCTTTGATCCACCCTCTACATCTATCATATCCTATTTAAGTTACTTGCTTAGAATGACTCCCACTTGAGCTTTCCTTGTAACCACATCCTTTACCCTATCTCCTTTATCTAAGCTCCATTCCACCTGGCGTCTTGGATACATTACACATTTATTGTACTTTTGAGTACATCAAAAATCTCACAATCCTTACCAAACTTCACACATAACAACTGCAATTTCCAACTCAAGAATATATTTCGGTACATTCGTGACATAACCATGGTGCACATTTTGGTGAGTGATAGCACTCACCGCTGGGGGTGAGAGTTGAAGACGCTGCTTCAGAGAATGCAGTGAAGACGTTTCAAATAGACAAGTACACAAACACATGGCTATGAAGTTAGTACAGTTTTATTATAACTATCAGGAATCGCTAAAAAATGTATGATACTTACGAAGGTTCTTTTTGACAGGGAGTGAATTATTTGTATGTAGATGATACAGTTGTTGTCAATCCTACGCGACAACGAATATTGAAATGACGTAAAAGTCAATTAAATTTAAGGGGAGTAGATGACTGATACGAGAAAGGACGGATGAAGCTGTCAGCGACGTAAGTGTGGGTTGAGGCAATGCACATCAGGCAGTGATGTTAATAAAGTGATAACGTATTTGCGAATAGGACGTAAAAAGTGGAGACATAAATCTGAGTATTACTGCAATGTATCAAGGCTCAGCCACGCAGCTCAAGAAAGGAGTCGTCGTCGATAGCTCATAAACCGCGTTATAGGGGGGTGCGTTCTGCGTCGCGTGAAGTGGAAACGCGTTGTGTGTATGCATATCCCCCATGATTTTTAGTTTCTCGTGATAAGCATGTCCTACTTTTTCAGTGTTTTGAGATACAGCTACATTTAGACACTACTTGTATATTAATAAGTATGGTACTGTATTGTCTTTACAAAATGCCCAGTTTGATATACATCCTTGAAACTGCATGAAAACTCTTACCGGTAGTTTGAGCTTCTCCAAATGAAGGTGGATGCATATGAAAAACACAAACACGCATACAGTGATCAACGCGATACATTTATACATTTGAAAGGGCTACGAAGGGAGGCTTTTATATTCTGTATATACCGTGAACGCCTGACTCTCAATAATCTGCTTCAGGAGGGTCCTGCCAAGTATTCACAGTAGGTGGCGATGTTGCTATGTGTCATCCTAAATGAGTACGGTAATTTTTGAGCATTGGGATGTTTGACCAATACCAGTTACCTTGTATAGTTTTTTGTTCATATATATGGGAGGAAAATGGAGAATCCATAGAAAACCCATTCAGAACAGCGGTGGGGGGGGGGGGGGGGCGCTTACAGCCCTCTACAAAGAAGGCGTCCAAGTCAGAAATTCAACCCAGGCCCTTCTTATAGTGCCTTATTAATTATACAGTGTCCAAAGTCGTGTATAGCAGCACTACGCCCCGCTGTTCAAGTGGGTACCACGTGTGCTCCACTGGCCATCGTCTGGCTGCTCGCGGCACTTTGGATTGGCGGGCGCGTGGGTGGGAGACGACGCTGATTGGTGGAACGGTTTAAAAAGGCTCAAAGCACGGGAAATGTAAGCAGAAAGTGAAGGGTCCTTTGATTGACTAATGGTGAAATCTATTGATAAGGTTCAGCCACGCTGGAGACGGGTATGTAAGGGTTTGAATACAGCATATCTGGGCTCATTCGGGACTGTACTCCATTTTCGTTGTTAACTACGTGCTTGGGTCTTTGCACATTTGTCAGTCAAGGCCGTAATTATAATATATATTGGGGGGACACATCCCCCCCCCCCCAATATTCAAATATGCTCAAAATGTCCCCCCCAATATATTGCTATAAAAAATGTGCTTTGCTATTTAAATAAAGACAACAATTTGCTTAACCTTGGCCACAATATCTGGACTTGTCTTCACATAAATCAATGCGTAGATTTCTGTTTATATGATTGTGGTTATGGTTGTACTTTATGAATCCCTAATCTCTGCCATTACAATGAAACAAGAAATGGTAAAAAAGTAAAAACAGAGCAATGTAATACAATACACTGTTAGACATAATTGTTAAAAAAAGTCCATCCCATGTGTTCGTGAAGTTTAAAATATTTTAGGCAGGAAATTAGTTTTCAAATGTAGATATTTTTCTGGGTTGGGACCCCCAGACACCCTGGAAAGTTTGGTCCCCCCCAATGTTGACTCCATGGCTACGGCCTTGTTGTCAGTTATAGTATGGTGAAACGGTCCTTAAAAATGTCAAGGTTTCACGTAAAGGAGGCCTTCATCCAGCAATGGATTGAGCATGGATAATGATGATGCCAATGTCACTTTAATGTTGAGCGAATTAAACTACACGAGGATGGGAATTATCGCCAAAATTTCCACCATTTGTCGAAGAGGGGTCCATCCCATGTTAAATGACATAATGGTTATGTATCACGTGTGATGTCACTACGGATTGATGGACTTATCCTTCAGGCTCATTGTGTGTGCAGTAGTTTCCGCTTGTGATTTAATGACGTGAAAGTCCCACCCACTACACACAGAAGCCCCGCCCACTACACACGGAAGCCCCGCCCACTACACACAGAAGCCCCACTACACGCAGAAGCCCCGCCCACTACACACAGAAGCCCCGCCCACTACGCACAGAAGCCCCGCCCACTACACACAGAAGCCCCGCCCACTACGCACAGAAGTCCCGCCCACTACACGCAGAAGCCCCGCCCACTACACACAGAAGCCCCGCCCACTACACACAGAAGCCCCGCCCACTACACGGAAGCCCCGCCCCATTGTGCAACTTGTTTCAGTCATTGGGGAGGGATTCTCGACTCGACCTTGGCAGGGAATTCGATTTCACGCCCTGTACGATCTTGTTAACTGTGCTCTATCCAAATGAGTAGCTACTGAGCTTATGCAAGAGGGTATGCGTAATGGCATGTATGTGCCCCCCCCCCCCCCAATGATCCGATCGAAATCCCTCATTACGATCTGATCAATGGGTTTATTAGTAATAGATCAGAATTTTACGACCCCCACTGCCACTTTGTAGCATATTATTACGTGCCAGGGACTCTATGAGATAATCGGACAATAGTCTGAGTCAATTGGCAATAAGTAATGGAAAAGCAGTTGTAAGTGACTCATAATTGTGCGCAGTTGCGTATACAGAGTGCACGACTTCCCTGAAGGCAGCAAACACCTTCAGCGAGCGCGATGCCGATCACACAACATGGGTAGAATTCGACCCTCGATCGATGGCTGCGCCATCGCCGCACACGCGGCGAATACAAAGCAAGGGACAAGTCCTTACTTACTAACAACTCCTTACTTACTAACAACTCCTTACTAACAACTCCTTACTCACTAACAACTCCTTACTCACTAACAACTCCTTACTAACAACTCCTTACTCACTAACAACTCCTTACAACTCCTTACTAACAACGCCTTACTAACAACTCCTTACTTACTAACAACTCCTTACTCACTAACAACTCCTTACTCACTAACAACTCCTTACTTACTAACAACTCCTTACTCACTAACAACTCCTTACTCACTAACAACTCCTCTATCATTTTTCATTGCTGGAGGGGTTGCCCCCCTCCCTGAAAATCCTGGCTCCGCCATTGTATGTGCCAACATGTATTTCGTGGGATACTTTAAATTAATGATAATACTTTACTGCTGAATTACACCACTTTAGTCGCGCGCAAAAAACGTGAAAATGATCACACAATGTCGAATTCTTGTCGACGGAAGAAATAAGTTATTTAATAGTTGTGTTCGTCTGCTCAGTTGTATTGAAACAGTGCGATGGGCGTTATGTGACGAGACGAGCAATCCATTGGGAACTCTCGTAGCTGCGCAGGAGGGCACACTCGTCTATGAGACGATGAGAGAATGGGCAGTGGGCCATTGCACGGCGCTGGTGCCCTATGCTCGAGATGTCGTGCATATGACCCTCATCATTACAGTCGTGTTATTATGACAACATGAGACCGTTTTGTTATTCCTCCCACACAAGGCAGAGCACACTTTCCTACAACCGGCCTGCTGCTTGAGTACTCGACTCGACTCGGATACATTCTCATTTGCGATCCGAACAGGTGGTGTGAATTTCACAGCTGTAATGTAACCCATTAAACGTTTTTTTTTACAATAATAGCAATGTGTGCTATAATCATTGGTAACCCGGTTAACCATCAACTCACTCCACTTAAGAAGCGGTTCAATCAGAGTTGACTGAAACTCGCATTTAACCCCGGTAACTCAGTGGTGGTTGCTGATTAAGCGCCCTAACTAAACACTCTGAGCTACACAGGCACCTCGTATCTCAACAGATGTCGACATGCATCTGCATGAATGCTTTTGTAATATGAGGATATATCCGGCTCACTGACGTATCACAAATCGTCATGGTGATTGGCTCTGCCGGTCCTGGTTTACAGCCAATGGGGGGAAGCCTGGGGGCATGGCCCTGACGTGATGGAAAGGTGACAGCTATAAGGATTGGTTTTGCTGGCTTTGGCCACAGCCAATGGGGAGATGAGTCAGGGGCGTGGTCCCGGGAGCTGACGAGGGAGCCTGGAAGATTCCATGCAGGCTAACGAGGATTGGCGGAAACGTACCACGTGACCCGGGTATTAAATAGGGGTGGAGACGAACGACACGTGGTCAGAACGGGAACGAACGGAGGAAGGGGGCCACGCGGGAGCGGGGCTCCGAGTTGTCACGTGGCAGTGCATCTCTCTCTCTATCTGTCCCTCTCACGCTGCCTATCAGCAGCGTGAAGTAACTGTAACATAAGTTGAATAAAAGACGGATTCCAGAAGTCGTTTCAACGAGCATTATTACACTTTCAACAAGACATCTATTGTTATATCGCTGCCCGAATAGGGATGTTGGTCGTCGTTAAGCCGCTCTACACCCCTACCGACCCCGCTCACCACTACGCCTGACCCCGCCCACCACTACCTGCTTGGCCCCGCCCACCACTACCTAATGGCCCCGCCCACCACTACCTGATGGCCCCGCCCACCACTACCTGCTTGGCCCCGCCCACCACTACCCCTGACCCCGCCCACCACTACCTAATGGCCCCGCCCACCACTACCCCTGACCCCGCCCACCACTACCCCTGACCCCGCCCACCACTACCTAATGGCCCCGCCCACCACTACCCCTGACCCCGCCCACCACTACCTAATGGCCCCGCCCACCACTACCCCTGACCCCGCCCACCACTACCTAATGGCCCCGCCCACCACTACCTGCTTGGCCCCGCCCACCACTACCTAATGGCCCCGCCCACCACTACCTAATGGCCCTGCCCACCACTACCCCTGACCCCGCCCACCACTACCTAATGGCCCCGCCCACCACTACCCCTGACCCCGCCCACCACTACCCTGACCCCGCCCACCACTACCTAATGGCCCCGCCCACCACTACCCCTGACCCCGCCCACCACTACCTAATGGCCCCGCCCACCACTACCCCTGACCCCGCCCACCACTACCTAATGGCCCTGCCCACCACTACCTAATGGCCCCGCCCACCACTACCTAATGGCCCCGCCCACCACTACCCCTGACCCCGCCCACCACTACCTAATGGCCCCGCCCACCACTACCTGCTTGGCCCCACCCACCTATTTCTCCTTAGGGGCCATCCATTTAGTATGTACGCAAAAATCTGTCAAAACTTGACCCCTCCCCTCCCTGTATAAATGCGTACTTTTCGACCCCCCCCCCCCACCACCTGTGTACGTATTCCACGCAGAAACGATCAAATATTTCCTCATCCACATCAATTCCATACACCCAGCCATCAAATTCACCATGGAGGTGGAAAAGAATGGCAAGCTACCATTCTTGGATGTTTTAATCGAAAAGAGACCAGATGGCTCAATGGGCCACTATGTGTACAGGAAAGCCACCCCATAAGGGTGTCATTATGGCAGAACACTGTCCCGGCATAATGCTACGCTTTCAAGTAATCTCGATTCACTTCGGGGTTTTGTTTTACAAAGGACATTATACGAATTGTAAAGCGCATCATTTTCATTCACACATGTAACTAATAACGTGTAACTAATAACATAATATCTACGAACAGAGAACAATAAATGCACCTCTCGCTAATGGCTCGTGGATACTGCACCCATGCGATTGATTAGAAGTGATTCACAAACACGAGCGTTGTAATCTTTCATTTAAATTACCTACGTTACACATGTATACATACAAAGACAAAATACCCTGTTACAGCCTTATATTTTTGGGGCAAGTGCTGTTAAGCGAGCACATATGAAGGCCGGAACGGCACACGAGGGGGTGGGTCGCCATCACCACGCCCGGCCGCCTTTGTCTCCCAAATGTCAATGTTTACACACCGCACCAGGTACTCCTTTGAGGCTGAGTCGACAAAGGGGAATCCCAGGACGGGTTCAGATAATCATCACTGGTGTTGACCGTGAGCGGGAATCAAACTCGGTCGGCCGGAATCGAATACAGCGCGCTAACCACTGCACACATATACATATCCACACACATATATATGCACACACACACATATACACACAAATATATACGTTGTATTGAAGCCGGCAGAAAGTGCGCTGTTGTTGGTTGCATATAAAAGCCCGTGAGTTGTATGCGCGTGTGTGCATCTTTACCTGCCACAGCACGAACCACCAGGACACAGGTGAGAAGGCACTGGACGAACCACATCGTTGATAATTAGTCGAGTAGCTGCGTTGCACCAGTCAGTGTTTGTTGGAGGTAAAATATGGAACTGGGTTGAAACTGAGCGCGGCTTTTTTTTATAATACCTCACCCCTGCACCCCGCCCCACCCCGAAAGACTTCAAATTACAACATCGGTGTGGGTGCGCGTGGTGTGGGCCACGTTTAAAGGTCTTGGAAGATTTGCGTGAAGTAAAAAAATGGTAACCACGCAGGTAAACACGATATTTCGAAATCCGTGTAACTACTCCTAATGTGCCGTGGGTGTTCGGCGTGATTAATCAATTGCCGTCATTTAAACTGCCTCCTCCGCCTTCGGCGGGGAAGTTGAAAAAAATAAATAAAGTCACAGTGCGCATTGCGGCGACAAAATTGCGGCCCCTTTTTGCAAGCCCTAAAAATATTTCACGCACGCTTAGTCCACCGCATGGATCCATTTCCACAAGCCGCTGTGCGAGTTCATTCAAAAATAAGTCTTCACGACATTTACATCAATACTAATTTAACTATACAAAAACATACAGTATATAAAACCTTAAACTGTGGGTTCAATTCTGGCCTTGTATATGATGCAGGCAATACGCACAGCAGCTAAATGCCAAAGTCGAGGTCTGCTGCTCGCCACAATGAGAGGGCGGCAGGAGAGAGAGAGAGAGAGTTCCTGTCGCTTCACTGCTCCTGCTCCATTGAAGGAGCGCAGGCTGCAGGGGGCTTATTGTGTGATCCATTGTTTGTGTTGCATGGCCACAACCACACTACTCTGGCTTGTGTCTTTAATTTTCCACCCAAGAAGGAGATGTGCGCATCGGCCAGCGTTGTGAGATGCAGTTTTTCATGAACGACGCTATTTAAAATGTTATTATCATTATTATTTACCGTTCCACCAGTGTCTTCCAGGAGGAAAAAAAGCCAGGAGGTGCGATGTTTGTCTCTCGAACGAGATGTTTAAATTTGTATTTTCACCCTTATTTGAATAAATTTTAGTTCTGAGAATTAATATATATCGATGGGATTGTCATGTGTCAATCTCCCAGTCGAGTGGAGGGGCAAGTTGCGATACCTGCCCTGTTGTGTAAACAATGAGAGAGCCGGTGACAAATCTTCTACCCATGCATTCTACGAACTGCCGCTAGGCATGCGAGATTATAAACATTCTTTCCGCTTTAGTGGATACAAACAAGTCGACTTAATTGATTCAGAGCATGAGGACAATTACTTTTAATAATGATAATGTAGTGCAATTACGTTCATCTTGCAGTGACAAAACAGTGTCCGATAATTGTTCACATTATTTCGTGATGTAAGTTTTTTTTTTAACCAAGGGTGATAGTGGCTCTGGTGATGGCGATGGTGGTGCCAGTCGTGGTCGTGCCGTCGGTAGTGAGAGCTGCTCCATACAATGATGATTTACATTTTCAGTAGAAAAAAACACGCGATAAACTCAATTCCAGTGATAATGGCCTTCCAACCAATCACCAACAGGCAGGGCAGCATTGTCATCCAGGCAGTTATGTTTGCGTGTGTGGAAAATACCACAACAATAATAATCATTCTCAACACTTTATCAATATACTGCTGGACTCCTTCATTGACGATTACCACTATGTAAAAATAAATACTGGTCCTATTTATTTAGACGGTCCTGGCTATAGGATAGCAATAACGTGGAATCTACTCGACTGGCTCATGAGGACTATTTAATAAGTGATGGCCTGTGCTCGTTCGAACACGAAGATACGCTGAATTATTGGACGGTTGGACAAAGAGTGAGGTATGCATCTACTGCACGGGCTATTTTAACTGTGTGTAGTAGTGGTGGCACAACAGCAAACTGATCTCTGAATGCGACCTCAATTCCATTCCCCACCCAAGGCTAACACAAGTGGCGAAGTATATCTGAACTCCCCCGGCTCTGCCACCACGACGCCCCCCATCACCACCCAACTTATCAACAACCCTCACTGACCAGCATGGTCAAAGTATTGTCAACAACAACAACCGCCGTTCGTCATAAAGTGGCGGTGACGTCACCACGGCGCTTGAGTATGGTCAAACAAACCTCATGACCAACAGGTTATGAGGAGGCCGTTATCCTTAACCGGAATGATGGTGTGCAACCAGACAGTGCAGTATTGTTTACTTCATTATTATTTAAATATATTTACGTGAATGCATACCACGTTAGGTGTAACCTATACCACATTGTGCTCCAAAGAATCTGTGTAATGTATACGGCATTGTATAAAACTTTAAGTGGCATCCTTTCTGGCATCCTCTCTGTGTTTGGAACGAGCGAATCGCATGTTTAGATTCCAAGTGTATGATATAATTGGTTACATTTCACAACCACAAAACGGTGTTGCCCAGTACATGCAGCTATCATTACAACCCTCATGTCAACGTCACTTGATGTTAAGAGGTCTTACCGGCAGTGGTGACAGTGCTGCTGCTGCTGCTGGTGGCGACGGTGGAGGTACTGCCAGTGGTGCTGGTGGTGGTACTGGTGGGGGTGGTGCTGGTGGTGGTACTACTGATGGGGGTGGTGCTGGTGGTGGTACTGGTGGGGGTGGTGCTGGTGGTGGTACTGGTGGGGGTGGTGCTGGTGGTGGTACTGGTGGTGGTGGTACTGGTGGGGGTGGTGCTGGTGGTGGTACTGGTGGTGGTGGTACTCGTGGGGGTGGTGCTGGTGGTGGTACTGGTGGGGGTGGTGCTGGTGGTGGTACTGGTGGGGGTGGTACTGGTGGGGGTGGTGCTGGTGGTGGTACTGGTGGTGGTGGTACTGGTGGGGGTGGTGCTGGTGGTGGTACTGGTGGGGGTGGTGCTGGTGGTGGTACTGGTGGGGGTGGTACTGGTGGTGATACTGGTGGGGGTGGTGCTGGTGGTGGTACTGGTGGGGGTGGTGCTGGTGGTGGTACTGGTGGGGGTGGTGCTGGTGGTGGTACTGGTGGTGGTGGTACTGGTGGGGGTGGTGGTGGTGCTGGTGGTGGTACTGGTGGGGGTGGTGCTGGTGGTGGTACTGGTGGGGGTGGTGCTGGTGGTGGAACTGGTGGGGGTGGAGGTGGTGGTACTGGTGGAGGTGGTGCTGGTGGTACTGGTGGGGGTGGTACTGGTGGTGGTACTGGTGGGGGTGGTGCTGGTGGGGGTGGTGGTGGTGGTACTGGTGGGGGTGGTACTGGTGGTGGTGGTACTGGTGGGGGTGGTGGTGGTGCTGGTGGTGGTACTGGTGGGGGTGGTGCTGGTGGTGGTACTGGTGGGGGTGGTGCTGGTGGTGGAACTGGTGGGGGTGGAGGTGGTGGTACTGGTGGAGGTGGTGCTGGTGGTGGTACTGGTGGGGGTGGTGCTGGTGGTACTGGTGGGGGTGGTACTGGTGGTGGTACTGGTGGGGGTGGTGCTGGTGGGGGTGGTGGTGGTGGTACTGGTGGTACTGGTGGGGGTGGTGGTAATGGTGGGGGTGGATCTGGTGGTGGTGGTGGTGCCAATGGTGGTTGGAGCTGCTCCATATGATGACGGTGACATTTGCAAAAGAGAGAAACAGGACAGACTCAATTCACATACTCTTTGGTTCTTTCGGTAAAGTCACGTAGGTATAAAAATAAATAATAAATCACGACGTTTCGATCGCAACACAAGCGGTGGTCATCAGGTGGAAAGATACAGCAGTAGAACTGCTGAACAAGAAAGGGCTGCTGCAACACGAGGTTATATATAGGTTTGAGGTGGGTGTCACCCAAGGATAAGTAGGCAGGGTCAGAGATGGAAAGGAGTTCCGTCACCGCACGCACGCACAGCAGCTGCGTTAAAGGGAGAGATTGGATTCATGCAGTCACAAAAACTTCATATCAATTCACATGTTAATAGCCTTCCCAACTATTGCACAATGCAGAAGAATATTTCCATCCGGATAGTGCTGTTGTCCTGTGTGGACATGATGCATTACGAATGACAACTTTCAGCCAGTGTTAGTCCACTTCTGGAGGAAGTCCCCCCCCTTGCCCCGCCATGGTCGTATTAATCATGGTGGTTTGATTGACTATACATCACCACGCTGGCCAGTGGAGGGATATCAGTTGAGATATCACTGGCCACAGATGTTAGCTGGTGGCGGTGATTGAACTTGTTGCTGGATTAAAAGTGCAGTGCCGATCACCATTACGCTAACACCATTGCCCACAGGGACATTGTAAGAATGTGTGGACGTAGTGCTGTGAAATATTGATTTCGTTAGCAACAGTGGACAACTTAAACTTATTAAATGTCAGGAAATGTTAAACGCTTTCTTTTTTCAGAACGAGCAATAAATAGATGGTGACTCAATGCTCAAAGGAGTCTTGGGTGCAGTTCATCTTCTTCGCCATCCCTGAGGCAGTGGTGGACATTTCACAACCCCACACAACAAATTGGTACTCTGCAATCAATGACGACTATTCAGCGGCCTTCTGATTGGGATTTTTAATTTGGAACTTACAGCTAGAGTTGCGGCGATATGATTTTCCAAGATTTTCACGCTACACCTCTCATTGCAATACAAGTTTCCCATCACTTTTAGAAATAAATATCGCTATTTTATTGCATTTACTTTCCAGTTTTCTGTGCTTCCAGTACAAATAATGAAAATAATATTGTTTGTCTTTTCATATATAGCGGCGTCGTTTATGCAAATTGTATCTCACAATCGTTGAACCATAGACAAGCTGAAAGACAGCCAGGCGGTGAGCTAGCGCCAATAGTTGCCCAAGCTTTACAAACCTCGATATATTAAATTATTTAATTTAATTTCTACCTTCGTGACTTTACCGAAAGAACCAAAGAGTATGAATGAATGAGTGTTTATACATATGGCAGGAAACCAGAGCAAGCCAGAGTATGGCACCTCCTCGATGCCCAGAGGAAGGAAGTTTCGCAACACGAGTGTGATCACCAACCCTCACTGCCCCTCCACAGTGCTGAGTTACCGGCCATTCGGATAACCTAAATATTACATACTTAAATGTTCTTCGACTGCAGGTATTTCAATCATTCCAACTATACATCCTGAATATAGCTGCCGTTTACTCAGACTTTACCAGAAGTAGTGCGAAGAGCTGCTCCGGATGATGTCGATGATGTAAGCCATTTGAAAACGACACGCACACACAAGCTTGTGTTAATAATTCGCACGAACATTGAGAACATCATCCCGTTGCATTGTGGAAATATTTGCCTTCATTGATGCGCATCCATTGCTCAGGTGAAGGAGTGGCCTCAATGTTAAATAACATTATCCTATGGGTCAACCTTAATGCCATGGGTATGATTAAGGCAATAAAATATCAATGCAGTAAACAATATATACAATGTTGTGTATGCAATGAACATTCATTATGCAAGTATGATCCATTTATATGTAAATACCGGCTGAATAAATGTGACATTTAAACTGAAGGCTAGCAAGCTTTAGCACGTAGGCTTTCGCGACCAATTTTTTCCACCTGATAGGCACACATTGATGACATTATCTTGCTCTATTTAAGACCGGAAGCAGGAAGAAGTCTTCACAATTCTGCCAAATTGCCTGATTAAGCTGGTTGTAATCACCAGTTAAACGTCGTACTCAAAACAGTAAATGCTGGTTTACTCTCCAACACACCGATGTGCTGAAGGAGTGACTAATTGGCACGTTTTGTTTACCTGACAAACCTGACTAATTGGCAATGTCGGGTGGGTTAAGGACTTTATTTTATTTACGCGATCTAACCCAAAAAACTTTAATATGAATAAAGGCTTGTAACTTTATTTTTATGTGACCAGTGCATGACTATTATTTTGTCGACAAATTGAGTTTTAAATGGCAGTTTCTTATGGATTGTGAACATAAATACATAATTGAAGATCAATACCGAGTGAGCAGACGACGGAAGCATCTTCCACATGGCTGCAGTCGTGCGTGCCCCAGCCGTTTTGTCTGCACTGCGAGAGTTGAGACTCGGAACCATTGCACTGCACGTTGTCCATCCAGATCCGGCCGCTGCCCGCTCCGTACCGAGCATTTCCCGGAGCTGACACGGCGGAGCCACAGCCCAGCTGACGGCAGACCACCTCGGCATCCTGCAGCTCCCAAAAGTCGTCGCACACCGTGCCCCAGAATTTTTTGTAGAGCACCTCCACGCGGCCCTGGCATGCGTTGCCTCCGCCAACCAGGCGGACTTCAACGCCTGAAGAAACAAAAACACACACATATTTCCAACGGACCACATTGAACACAATATGCCTGGAAACTAATATAAGCCTCCAAGGTGTCATGCTTGTGGTAATGCCACAAGGTGTGGATTGAAAGATAAAATAAGCAAATAACATGTCGGTAATTATACTTTAATAAGAAAATTTTTGAATTATGTATATAAAAATCTCTTCCAACGCGGGTTCATGGAATGCGTGTTTCGGCTGTACACAGTTTACCTAATGAGGTCTGTTGTCCGGAACACGCGAATGATGTTTCGGCTGTATGCGGTTTCACGCTGCTAAGATTATCGTCTCCGCGTCGAAAAGTAGTACCACGAGGGTGCTGCATCCGTTGGAAGTTGTGAGTGAATCGACTGAGAACTATTTATGAACCATATATGTTCTGTGTAAGTGTTTTAGTGTGACAATGTAACACACTCAACACGCACAATTGCACAACGCAAATGTTCACACATTGTATATATGTATCCATGTTGAGCTTCTATCGCACCGTACCTAGCTAACCGTGCTAATCGGAGGTGCGGGGGTTGGGCAACAAACTAAACACTTAACGCAGTTGTTAAAGAAATGAGTTTTCAATTGCTACATCCATTTAGCCGTCCAGATGTTGAGGAGGTTAGGTGGACGCCTCAATGGTGAATCGTTAACATTCAAGTGACAGTGTCAGGAGCAAGTGCTGAGCGTGAGTGCCCCGGTGCAGGAAGAGTAATGGAGATGGGGGTTTTGTGTCAAGGTGAAGTTGAAATAAAGAGTGCGCACACAATCAATGTAGAGCAATTCAGCATCCTTTAGTACAATAACAACGGTGGAAATCGTGTAGAGACATTTAAACAAAGAGGGAGAGGGTGATAATTTCGGACCCAGGAACACAACCCTATTTTGACCATGCCTATAATTTGTCAAATGCAGTTTGCCCAAAACGGTATTTTCCAGGAGCACAACGCCCACTTTCAGCAAGGTCTGCCTGTAGTAATCTATGAAGTATGGTCAAACAACCCACACGACCCACACGGCATGGGGAAGACATTCATCCAGCAGTAGATTGACGACTCTCAATTAGAATCATCGCCAAGATAGAGTTAACAGTTGGCAGACCGTATTAGGTAGACAGTATTCTAGAAACTATCTCATGTAAAAAGTGGATCAGTTGGTGGATTTTAATTTCTATGAGGCTTCTTATGGTTTCACACTAAAAAAAAACATTTTACAAGACTTGTGCAAAAATATCTCATTGTCCACGACAATCGCAACACCTCGTGAGCAGATGACGGAAGCATCTTCCACATGGCTGCAGTCGTGAGTGCCCCAGCCGTTTTGTCTGCACTGCGAGAGTTGAGACTCGGAACCGTTGCACTGCACGTTGTCCATCCAGATCTGGCCACTGCCCACTCCGTAGAAAGCGTTTCCCACAGCAGACACAGCAGAGCCACAGCCCAGCTGACGGCAGACCACCTCGGTATCCTGCAGGTCCCAAAAGTCGTCGCACACCGTGCCCCAGAACTTTCTGTAGAGCACCTCCACGCGGCCCTGGCATGCGTTGCCTCCGTCAACCAAGCGGACTTCAACGCCTGAAGAAACAAAAACATGCACATATGTTTCCAACGGTCCACACTGAACACAAGATGCCTGGAAACGAATATAAGCCTCCAATGTGTCATGCTTGTGGTAATACCACAAGTTGTGGATTGACGGATATAAGAAACAAGTAACATTTCGGTAATTATACTTTAATAAGGATATTTGAAGTTTTCGTGACTGCAATGATCCATACTCTTTGGTTCTTTCGGTAAAGTCAGGTAGGTGAAAAAATAAAATAAACTAAAAAATAAGAATACAAATTAAAATTAAAAATAGAAATAATCAAATTTAATCACGACGTTTTGGAAGCAACGCAAGCGTCCGTCATCAGGTGGGACAACCACAGCAAGAAACAAAAAAATACTGTAGTGGGCAAAGAGAGCTGTTTGTGACAAGCGATTATATAAGGTAAGAGTGGAGGAGGAGCCAGGGTGGAGAGATGCAGTGGGCTCTCATGATATTGTTTTTTTCCGAGACCAAGATACTCTGCAAACCTTCAGGCTTTACCGAAAGAACCAAAGAGTATTTAAAAAGGAGATTTTTTTATTATGTATAGGAAAATCTTTCCCAACGCGGATTCATGGAATACGTATTTCGGCTGTACACAGTTTACCTAATGAGGTGTGTTGTCCGGAACACGCGGGTGATGTTTAGGCTGTATGCGGTTTCACGCTGCTAAGATTCTCATCTCCGCGTCGAAAAATAGTGCCACGAGGGTGCTGCATCCATTGGAAGTTGTGAGTGGATCGACTGAGAACTATTTATGAACCATGTATGTTCTGTGTAAGTGTTTTAGTGTGACAATGTAACACACTCAACACGCACAATTGCACAACGCAAATGTTCACACATTGTATATATGTATCCATGTTGAGCTTCTATCGCACCGTACCTAGCTAACCGTGCTAATCGGAGGTGCGGGGGTTGGGCAACAAACTAAGCACTAATAGCAGTTGTTAAAGAAATTAGTTTTCAATTGCCACATCCATTTAGCCGTCCAGATGTTGAGGACGTTAGGTGGACGCCTCGATGGTGAATCGTTAACATTCAAGTGACAGTGTCAGGAGCAAGTGCTGAGCGTGAGTGCCCCGGTGCAGGAAGAGTAATGGAGATGGGGGTTTTGTGTCAAGGTGAAGTTGAAATAAAGAGTGCGCACACAATCAATGTAGAGCAATTCAGCATCCTTTAGTACAATAACAACGGTGGAAATCGTGTAGAGACATTTAAACAAAGAGGGAGAGGGTGATAATTTCGGACCCAGGAACTCAACCCTATTTTGACCATGCCTATAATTTGTAAAATGCAGTTTGTCCAAAAAGGTATTTTCCAGGAGCACAACGCCCACGTTCAGCGAGGTCTGCCTGTAGTAATCTATGAAGTATGGTCAAACAACCCACACGACCCACACGACATGGGGAAGACATCCATCCAGCAGTAGATTGACAAAGACTCTAAATTAGTATCATCCCCAAGATGGAGTTAACAGTTGGCAGACCGTATTAGGTAGACAGTATTCTATAAGATATCTAATGCAAATAGTGGTCCAGGTGGTGGATTTTAACTTCTATGAGGCTACTTATGGTTTCACGCAAATAAAAAAAAAATACATTTTACGAGACTCGTGCAAAAATATCTCATTGTCCACGACAATCGCAACACCTCGTGAGCAGATGACGGAAGCATCTTCCACATGGCTGCAGTCGTGAGTGCTCCAGCCGTTTTGTCTGCACTGCGAGAGTTGAGACTCGGAACCGTTGCACTGCACGTTGTCCATCCAGATCCGGCCACTGCCCACTCCGTAGAAAGCGTTCCCCACAGCAGACACAGCAGAGCCACAGCCCAGCTGACGGCAGACCACCTCGGCATCCCGCAGGTCCCAAACGTCATCGCACACCGTGCCCCAAGACCTTCCGTAGAGCACCTCCACGCGGCCCTGGCATGCGTTTCCTCCACCAACCAGGCGGACTTCAACGCCTGAAGAAACAAAAACACACACTAACGTTACAGCGATCACCATAAGAGTAACGGAGTGTATCCCTGTGATGGTGCCTCTTCCTTCATCTTGTGAATCGGGGAACTGAGTCGTTATATGTTCGACAGTTCTGTTCTGTGTGGTGAACACAGACTGCTGGAGAGATTAAAATGCTCCATTTGTGTATCATCATCAAATAATGGCATTTACCAATGAATCCAAAATCAGACGCCGTGATTAAATTATTTTCCGAAACTTCGTCGCAGTGTAGAATTCAAAGATGTACACAATGCGTTCTGCTCGTTTCCAAATGACCAATGCATGATTAGATGTTTAACTGATACTTTAGTAACGACTCCGGCAGATTGCACTTTTGCATGAGAGTTCTGCAAACAGATATTTGACCATTTAACTTTCGCTGCAACCGGAAAAACACTTACGATGAGCACACGTGTCCAATGCTGACTGGATGCAAGGTTGCACGTTTGATTTTACATCATGCAATTATGATTCTTACACGTGACAAACTTGTCTCTTTCTTTAATATTTTCAGTCACTCATTTAGTTCACACCACGTGAGCGATTTTCATCGTTGCTAGAGGGAAAACACAAGGGTACGAGGGCAAATTGCATGGGGTAGGTAGCTACCTCACGCATATACCGCAGTGGTGATGTTAACTATATTGCCTGGTGTACAGGAGATTATGGGTTCGATCCTGACCCTGGCACCTATATATTTTGAGTTTTCGTTGCCTCTCTCCCTGTGGTCGCATGGATTTTTCTACAAGTCCTCCAGGTTTTCCCTCCACATTTAGAAACATGCGTTCAGAGTATTTGGCTGCTATAAATTTCCACGTGATAGGCCACTTCGTTGAGCTATCATTTGTGGCCAGGTCGCTTCGGAAAAAATAAATATATATCTCAGTGGGTCTTACCTAGTAAAATAAAATAAAAAATTGAAGCCCGAGACAGACCTCGGTACAGAGGAGAGCGCAGGTGGCGATACGTGCAAAAGGAGTGAGCATTACCTGGAGCTAGAGGTCATGGCCCACGTGAGACCATGTGGACCACCCCAGAGACGCGACTGGGTGCACAGTGGCCGTGTGCACAGTGGCCGTGTGCACAGTGGCCGTGTGCACAGTGGCCGTGTGCACAGTGGCCGTGTGCACAGTGGCCGTGTGCACAGTGGCCGTGTGCACAGTGGCCGTGTGCACAGTGGCCGTGTGCACAGTGGCCGTGTGCACAGTGGCCGTGTGCACAGTGGCCGTGTGCACAGTGGCCGTGTGCACAGTGGCCGTGTGCACAGTGGCCGTGTGCACAGTGGCCGTGTGCACAGTGGCCGTGTGCACAGTGGCCGTGTGCACAGTGGCCGTGTGCACAGTGGCCGTGTGCACAGTGGCCGTGTGCACAGTGGCCGTGTGCACAGTGGCCGTGTGCACAGTGGCCGTGTGCACAGTGGCCGTGTGCACAGTGGCCGTGTACGAGGAGCAACACACGAGCCAACTGAGCTGCCACAACGGGGTTGCTTTCTCGTGGGCAACGCACGTGTCATGCGATCGGTGTTTTTGAAGACTTTGAGTAAGGTCGTACACACAGCAACGCCTGCGAGGGCATCAAGGATCTGGACTTGGTCGAGACGATTGGTTAAGAGAATGATTGGGACCATTGCAATTTTATGCAGAGTCACATGAGTGTTGGAGGGTTGTGTGTGTGGGATGGTAGCGTAAGTGCAACAGTCCGCGCACTGCGCTACGAACCTAGTGAACGGATTTTAATTTCCCGCTCGCGAATATTTGAACCACGGTTTCAGGCCACCTCTAGGTCGACTTGGCTACAAATGGTGCGATGTGTAAAACATCAACACTGGGAAGACAAAAGCGGCCGGGCCTTGTGCTGGCCTCCCACCCCGCTCGTGTGCCATGCCGGTCTTTGTAGGTGCTACACGCTAACTGCACTTGCCCCAACAGTCTGTTGTATGTATGTTGAACTTCTTTCGCACCATACGTAGCCAACCATAATAATTGGAGGTGCGGGACATCGGAGGTTAAAGGCAATATGGGAGCTATTTCTCTTAGAGTGTGCACCTTGCACGGGTGACACTAGTTGTGGGGTTTCCCCTTGGTGTCAGGAAGCCTTCAACCGCCCATTAACATTCCTAGCACTTCCTACTCTGTGGCCTCTAAGCGTGTTGTTTTTTGTTCCGTGGCCTGTCGCGATGCGCTATCAGATGCCGTCCCACGCAAAACGGGCACCGTTTCAAGCGTAAGTAACCTGATAACCCTATGGCATTAAATAATAAAAGATGACGATGCTCTACGACCTCTGACCTAGGTCAAAACATCGCGACTAAAATGTTTTCACCATGTTAATCGTACTGACGAGCGTGGTGAAGTCTGAACAAGTCCCATGCTCAGTGAGGCATAGAGAGGGCTATAAGTTATCCTTCATTGCAATTGTGGTATACCAGTGGGTAGACAAAGCAGTGTTCACTTTAATCAAAAATCTGATCACTCGGTGGACTGGGAAAGCCAATAAGGCTTCATGTCACTCCATTGATGGCAGTTTTATTAAATTATTGCGAATTGCAAGCCACCCCATCCATATAAACGGGATGGTACCAGCTTGCTGGCACACGTGCAGGGACACCTTTTACGAGGCGCCTGATGCAAAGATGCACCATAATTAATTAATAGCCACAGCAAACGCAACACCTCGTGAGCAGATGACGGAAGCATCTTCGACGTGGCTGCAGTCGTGAGTGCCCCAGCCGTTGTGTCTGCACTGCGAGAGTTGAGACTCGGAGCCGGAGCACTGCACGTTGTCCATCCAGATCTGGCCGCTGCCCGCTCCGTAGAAAGCGTTTCCCAGAGCGGACACAGCAGAGCCGCAGCCCAGCTGACGGCAGACCACCTCGGCATCCTGCAGGTCCCAAACGTCGTCGCATACCGTGCCCCAAGACCTTCCGTAGAGCACCTCCACGCGGCCCTGGCACGCGTTGCCTCCACCAACCAGGCGGACTTCAACAACTGAAACAACAGATACCATGACTTTCAATTTACATTGCTTAAAAGATATACATTTACAAAGCATATATATTGATGTGGGTCGCATAGCTCATTGATGAGCATCATGCAGCCTTGTTATAGGGCAGAGTTGTCTTTGGGTGTTAACATTGAAGGTGTGATTCGCAATGTCAGCGAGTCACGCTGCTCTGTGGGCTTCCCAATGGATTCGTTGTCTCACAACACGATGCCAATATCACACCTTGGATGCAACTGCAAAAAGCAGCAACAACAAAATCTCAGAACGCGACTCTTGTTGAGTGTAATCTCGACCATACTCTGCACTGACAAAACTTATGATCATGTGTCCAGCCATGTAAACGGTACCTGGACCATAATCTATAGTGGCGCTGGAATGCAACCTGATAGATAATGTCATGACAGAGACTGGGTGTTCTACAACAGCGAAGTATTGTTCTGAAAGAGTCCGTACTTATAAATGAACTGCAGTGAGTCAAACGTGAGCTTCCTTACCAGATGGGATTGCAGTAGGGGCTGTTCCAGTCACCAATGGCCGACATGTTAAGAAAGACAAATCACACACGGTTAAGATTGCCGAGTTTATCTTGTGAATTGATGTACAGTCTAACTGATATTCACTAACTAGATAGCATATATGATACGTTACAGATTCATTATATCTGAACCTGCGCCACCGCTCGGCGGAGAGAGGCGAAAATTTATATCCACGTCTCCAGAGTCATAACTGAACATTTTTGGTTGCCCTCAGCTACGGCAAATCCATGCTTATCTCTCAACATCCGTAGAGCTGCCTCGGCCTCGAACACAGGTGGCCGGGATCAGAGTGGCAGTGAAACCAAAAAGTGCCAATCTCTCCACTCCCCGATATTATATCGCTGCTCGCCATTATGCCACCACTCCCAAATCCAATGATCTACCGTAAAGATTTTTCAGACTTGGGGCAAGTACTGTTAGCGACGACCTATCAAGGCTGGCACGGCACACGAGGGGGTATGTGGTTAACCCCACGCCAATTTCTCTCCACAACGCATCAGGCATTCACTTAAGGCCGACTCAACCTAGGCGAGGCTCAGGACTGTTTCAAATATCGCCATTCTCACACTGAAGTTAATCAATCACGCGCACTAATATATGCACACGCACGCGCGCACAGGCAACCTTGTGAGCAAACGACGGAAGCATCTTCCACGTGGCTGCAGTCGTGCGTGCCCCAGCCGTTTTGTCTGCACTGCGAGAGTTGAGATTCGGAACCGTTGCACTGCACGTTGTCCATCCAGATCTGGCCGCTGCCCGCTCCGTACCGAGCATTTCCCGGTGCGGACACGGCGGAGCCACAGCTCAGCTGATGGCAGACCACCTCGGCATCCTGCAGCTCCCAAAAGTCGTCGCACACCGTGCCCCACGCGCCGCGGTATTGCACCTCCACGCGGCCGTGGCACGTGCCGCCACCTACCAGGCGCACCTGGACATCTACCCGCACCCCCACCAATCAAAAGTTTGATCAACAACATTGTGATAATTTATTCTTTAAGTTCATTGTTTATCTATTATCATTGTTCATATACATGTGTATTTTTCCTTCTCAGATGACATTTAAAAATGGGGGATATTTTTTTTACTAAAGATTAACGATATTCTTTGGGTCTTTCGGTAAATACTCTTTCGTTTTTTCGGTAAAGTCACGTAGGTAAAAAATATTATATAAATTAAAATGAAAACAAATAAATTAAATTACGACGTTTCAGAAGCAACACAAGCAACCGTCATCAGGTGTTGACTGCTCCAGCAATATTACTGAGGCGTATGAAGAGAGTTATTACGAGACAACGTGTTTATATGGGGTGTTAGGGGGGGGAGGAGTCAAGGGGTCGGGGGGGGGGGGCATGTGGCAGGCCGTGTGGACGGTTGGGCACGGGATTAGCATGAGTTAAGCCGATAGATAACCATCTGTGTTCTTTCGTGATGTCAGGGGAGGGGAGTTTGTGCATCAGTGCAGTGCCTGCACGACAAGTGATGGTGGTGTATCAGGCTGGGAGTAAAAAACTGGAAGAAATGGATATGGCTGTAAAATTATAGGGCAGCTAAAGTTTGACTTGGTTGATGACATCTTTCCAATGATTGCTTAATGTAAAACCATCCTCTCGGTTGAAGTTGTGTCTATGTTTGTATATCTGGATGGCTTCATGGACAGATCTTTGGTCGTATCCGGGAGGTTTACAGAGTACTTTGGTATCGGAGAAAACAATATCATGAGAACCCGCTGTAATGAAACAATGATCAGCTTCGGCAAAAAAAATCGTTCTGCCGTGTTTCAAATCTGACTTGTGCTCGCGAATTCGGTCAGAAATATGTCGTTTCGTCTCCCCGATATAGCAATCACCACAGGAACAACTCAGTTTGTAAACACCGGGGAAATGTAAGTCAGGAATGACATCCTTTACGGATGGGATCAGATCACGGATTTTGTGTACTGTATTGAATCGGACCTGGATCTTGTGTTTGTTTAGAATTTTGGAAATCTTTTTGGTAATGCCTGCTATGTATGGCAACGTGATGATTTTGATCGGAGTTTCAGGAGGTTGTTTCTGCATGGTGGGAGAAACAGCTTGGCGGATAGCACGGTCTGAGTATCCGTTCATCTTGAGGGCCAGATGTACATGTTTTAATTCACTGGCCAGGTGGTGTTGGTCAGAGATGCAGGGAATTATTTTGAGCCGGGTGGTGGTGGGAATCAGGCTTCAAGTAGGAATCTGTGTGGGTGGCTTTCCTGTAGACAGAATGTCCCAAAGAGCCATTCAAACAGAACATCCAAGAATGGTAGCTTGCCATCCTTCTCCACTTCCATGGTAAATTTGATGGATGGGTGTCTGGAATATTTTGGTTAAGACACGTAGAACAATTTTTTTTTACAAAAAACTACGAAGTTTCGATCGCAACACAAGCAATTGTCATCAGGAGAAAAAAGAGCGGGAAGCTACTGAGGCAGGCTATTTTAAAGGTTTGAAATGGGTGTAGCCCGACGGTCATAAACGAAGTGGGCGGGGTTAGTGATGTTAAAGTGAGAAATTTGCATGTAAATATAAGATCAGAGAGCTACCTCCACGATGAGCTGTCATCTTTAAAAAAAAGTCTTAAATTGATTTCGAAAGATAATTAATGCATCATGCATGAATGTTTATGGAAGTCAGTTTGAACATTTGTTAAAATAAATTAAATAACTCTCTGTGATTTCTTCAAGTAAATATAATTACCATGAGTCCTGACTTTTGGGCCACCTGTATAGCGGGGAAGGGTCGCTCTACTGTACAAGAAGCGTGTTTATTATTTTTTTCAATGCTCTCAATAGTGATGTTTGTTCCTGACCGCTTTACACTAGAAGCTGTTGGGCCTATGGCCAGCAACAACAGTGATGTTGTTGATTTAATATCTCACCTGGTGGTGACGTCACAGTAGCTGCTCCAAACCAAGTGGCGATGGCATTTGAAAGACACACAAAGCACGTGTTGGTCAGTGTGCACATCTGGTCAATGCATTATTAGACCTCGCTTAGCGCTCAAGATGCGTTCCTGTAGATGTAGGCGCTAAGGTCTGCCTGTATTATAATTGCGTAATTAGTATGCATATAAAGTCAACATCTGGTTGTAAAATATCTATGTTTTGAAAACGAACGCCATTCAAAATGTAAAAAAACCCTCACGTTTCACTACTTAAGCAAATATACAATATAATAATTAGCGTCGTTGGTGAGAATATACATGTGCTGTCAGGGAACACCGATGAAGGCCGGAGGGGCACATGAGGGGGTGGGTGGTCAGTACCGCGGCTGGCCGCCTTTGTCTCGCTCGTGGCGATGTTTACAGACCGCACCTGGCTGAGTCGACCTAGGGGAGGCTCAGGGCCGGTCCAAATGTTCCTCACTTGTGTTGGTCGTGAGCGTGAATCAAACTCGAGTCGCCGGGTACGTGGCGCAGCGCACTAACTACTACACTTGCCACTCCCTACACATGAAGCCAACACACAGCACACTCTGCACACTCAGCACACTCAGCACACTCAGCACACACAGCACACTCAGCACACTCAGCACACTCAGCACACACAGCACACTCAGCACACTCAGCACACTCAGCACACTCAGCACACACAGCACACACAGCACACTCAGCACACTCAGCACACACAGCACACTCAGCACACTCAGCACACACAGCACACTCAGCACACTCAGCACACTCAGCACACACAGCACACTCAGCACACTCAGCACACACAGCACACTCAGCACACTCAGCACACACAGCACACTCAGCACACACAGCACACTCAGCACACTCAGCACACTCAGCACACTCAACACACTCAGCACACACAGCACACTCAGCACACACAGCACACACAGCACACTCAGCACACTCAGCACACTCAGCACACACAGCACACTCAGCACACTCAACACACTCAGCACACACAGCACACTCAGCACACTCAGCACACTCAGCACACACAGCACACTCAGCACACTCAGCACACACAGCACACTCAGCACACTCAGCACACTCAGCACACACAGCACACTCAGCACACTCAGCACACTCAGCACACTCAGCACACTCAGCACACTCAGCACACACAGCACACTCAGCACACTCAGCACACTCAGCACACACAGCACACTCAGCGCACTCAGCGCACTCAGCGCACTCAGCACACTCAGCACACTCAGCACACTCAGCACACTCAGCACACACAGCACACTCAGCACACTCAGCACACTCAGCACACTCAGCACACTCAGCACACTCAGAACACTCAGCACACTCAGCACACTCAGCACACACAGCACACTCAGCACACTCAGCACACTCAGCACACACAGCACACTCAGCACACTCAGAACACTCAGCACACTCAGCACACTCAGCACACTCAGCACACTCAGCACACACAGCACACTCAGAACACTCAGAACACTCAGAACACTCAGCACACACAGCACACTCAGCACACACAGCACACTCAGCACAATCAGCACACTCAGCACACTCAGCACACTCAGCACACTCAGAACACTCAGAACACTCAGAACACACAGCACACTCAGCACACACAGCACACTCAGCACACACAGCACACTCAGAACACTCAGAACACTCAGAACACACAGCACACTCAGCACACACAGCACACTCAGCACAATCAGCACACACAGCACACTCAGCACACTCAGCACACTCAGCACACACAGCACACACAGCACACTCAGCACACTCAGCACACTCAGAACACTCAGAACACACAGCACACTCAGCACACTCAGCACACTCAGAACACACAGCACACTCAGCACACTCAGCACACTCAGCACACTCAGAACACTCAGCACACACAGCACACACAGCACACTCAGAACACTCAGCACACTCAGAACACACAGCACACTCAGCACACTCAGCACACTCAGCACACACAGCACACTCAGCACACTCAGCACACACAGCACACTCAGCACACACAGCACACACAGCACACTCAGCACACTCAGCACACTCAGCACACTCAGCACACACAGCACACTCAGCACACTCAGAACACACAGCACACTCAGCACACTCAGCACACTCAGCACACTCAGCACACACAGCACACTCAGCACACTCAGCACACTCAGCACACACAGCACACTCAGCACACACAGCACACTCAGCACACTGAGCACACTCAGCACACTCAGCACACTCAGCACACACAGCACACTCAGCACACTCAGCACACTCAGAACACTCAGCACACTCAGCACACTCAGAACACTCAGCACACTCAGCACACACAGCACACTCAGCACACTCAGCACACTCAGCACACTCAGCACACTCAGAACACACAGCACACACAGCACACTCAGCACACTCAGCACACTCAGCACACTCAGAACACTCAGAACACACAGCACACACAGCACACTCAGCACACTCAGCACACACAGCACACTCAGCACACTCAGCACACACAGCACACACAGCACACTCAGCACACTCAGCACACACAGCACACACAGCACACTCAGCACACACAGCACACACAGCACACTCAGCACACTCAGCACACTCAGCACACTCAGAACACTCAGCACACACAGCACACTCAGCACACTCAGCACACTCAGCACACTCAGCACACTCAGCACACTCAGCACACTCAGCACACACAGCACACTCAGCACACTCAGCACACACAGCACACTCAGCACACTCAGCACACTCAGCACACACAGCACACACAGCACACTCAGCACACTCAGCAAAACAACAACGACGACGACGAGAACCTTGAGAGCAGACGACGGACGCGTCCTCTCCGTGGCTACAGTCATGAATCCCCCAGCCGTTTTGCCCACACGCGGAGAGTTGAGATTCGGTGCCGAGACACCGAACGTTGTCCATCCATATCGGGCCACTGCCCTGTCCGTAGCGCGCTACGCCCGGGGCCGAGGAAGCGGAGCCGCAACGCAGCTGGCGGCACACGACCGCGGCCTCCTGGAGATCCCAAAAGTCATCGCACACTGTGCCCCACGTGCCGTTGTAGAGCACCTCCACCCGGCCATAGCACGCGCCACCATCCACAAGCTGAACTTGACCATCTGGTTTGAATCATTCAATCGTACGGATAATGGAGGCTGTTAAGGTGCAGTTCAACGTGTGCGCGCGTGCATATGAGATAAGTTGACCCCCTCCACCCATCCAACCTTGCAATTGTGGGACCAGCGATTTTTCCCAAGACACAGCACAACGCTGTCCGGTCGGTCATCTCGTCGCCCCTTTGGATGCCGTTTCCACGTATAGCGCTTCTTGGCCAAACTCACCCGCAAATCGCCAGACTTCATCATATCTCATCAGCTATGGAGCCTGAATAGCGGCTGGATGCGCGATCACCGTGCATAACAGGTATTATAGGCTGTGGGGGCTACGCGATGTGTAGCAGATTTCAGTACGTAAACATCACTTGTTGTATGGTAACGTATGCGCTTCCACGTGTACGCCCCACCCTGTTTATAAAAACCCGCACTGACAAGGGTGGTGAAGTATGGCCAAATACCCCCCATGACCCACACGGCGCGGAGAGACTTTATCAGGTACTCATTTGAGGCTGAGTCGACAGAGGGGAGGTCCAGCACCGGTCCAGATATTTGTCACCGATGTTGGCTTTGAGCGGGAATCGAGCTCGCGTCGTCGAGTTTAAAGCGCAGTGAGTTAACCACTGCACTACCGGTCCCCACAAACTGGATAAATATCCACACACATTTACATATTTAAAAAAATACGAAGACACAAACACGTACACATCTACACACCTACGGGATAAATAGGCGTGCTTAACGCATGTCCCAGGTGCATTTATGGCGCGCGCATACGCCGTGCCTGCGTGCGACATTACCTGTTGCTAACGCACGTGATACCAGGAGACAGGTGATGAGCAGCCAGAGAGCGCGGCGCCAGCTGGCGACCATCACCACGACCACCATCATCAATCACTCTGGAACTGATTCGCAGACGGCCCTAGCTGGTTGAACGCGGCGCGTCCTAACGCACACACCTGCCTGGTCGTTGCAGTGGCTCACGAAACGACACCCAAGAGGGATGCTGATGCGCCCCCAACCTAACTAGCGAGGGCTCCCTCGCGCTCTCTCTCCCAGTATCGATAAGAAATGCTCAAGGTTGTGATCAAACGCCATGTTGCTCAATGTGTTAGGCGTGCCGGTCGCACTATTTTTACGCGTGCATTCCACGACGACGCAATATGAATCACACAACGCCAAAGCGACGGGGGCTGATGCCTCGGGGAATGCCGTCATCTCGGGTGTTTAACTTTGACTAATACATCTGGGTAGGTGGCGTAAATAGACTTGGCCACCAACTGTATATGTGTGTGTCTATTCCGCGCCTTTGCAAGTGGATGTGCGCACTTGCGGAGCCAGTGGGAGAAGGGGGGGGGGGTGGAGTTCACGTGCCCCCCCAATGATCCGATCGAAATCCCTAATTTCCATCGGATCATTGGGGTTTATTAGTAATACATCGGCATTTTGCGACCCCCACTGCCACTGTGTAGCATATGATTAGGTGCCAGGGAATCTATGAGATGATAGGACAATAGTCTGAGTCCATAATTGGCAATAAGTAACGGCAAAGCAGTTATAAGTGACTCGCATAATTGTGCGCAGTTGCGTATAGAGTACACGACTTTCCTGAAGGCAAACATTTTCAGCGAGCGCGATGCCGATCACACATGGTTCGAATTCGACCCTCGATCGATGGCTGCGCCATCGCCGCACACGCCACGAATAAAAAGCAAGGGACAAGTCCTTACTCACTAACAACTCATTACATACTAACAACTCCTCTGTCATTTTTCATTGCTGGAGGGGTTGCCCCCCTACCTGAAAATCCTGGCTCCGCCATTGGATGTGCGGGGTGCATAGGCAAGTGGTAGTGGAACACAACATCAGACCCGCTCATTAAATTCAGTATTTTGCAAACTATATCACGATGCAGTATTCAACAACGACTCAATGCGTGCTACTAGTTTCAAACAATGAGAACCTTTAACTGCATTGTGTGAACAAATCCCCGCAGTTATCTCCCTCACCTGCGACACTGGAGGTCATGGGTTCGATCCCAGACACTGACGATCTCTGCAGTATATTTGGAGTTCACGTGTTCTCTCTCCCCGTAGTGGCCCACAATTATAAACATGTGTTGAGATTATTTGCCTTCTACTATACATTTCCACGCCGGATGATGATATAAGCCACTTAGATAAGCTATCATCACGTGTGATCAGGTCACTTCTGAAAAATAGTGAATAGCTCAATGGGCATTGCCGAGTACACAAACTCGTCAACAAAATAATACCGCGGCAGTGGTGACGCGAGGCATCAGCACACAAAGCCAACTTCGAAGGGGCCCCGAGAAGCTCCAGGGGATTCACGATAAAAGAGGGGTGCTTACACAACGTATCCGCTCAAATTCAGATCCTAATAAATAAACAAATAGCCAGTGAATATGAGAACGAATTAATCTAAGCTCATCTTCGTACTACCGGGAGTGCTATTCTCTCAGCTCATCTCCCTGTCTGTTGGTCATATTTCCCTAATCTTGCTACATCTTTATCTCTCGTGTGTATATACTTTATATATGCCCTCCTCTAAATTTAGACTTAAAACGTTCGTGACTGCAGGAGTTCATATTCTTGGTTCTTTTGTTGAAGCCACGAAGATAGAAAAAATAATAAATTATAAAATAAATAACAACTTTAACATTTTTTAAGCAAAAAAAACCCACAATCAAAATAAAAAAATGTACCCGTAAAAACAAAGTTTTTCACTATAAATCCTTTATATGCGTGGCGGCTAGAGTCCTTTCGTCCTCTGGCTTGAGATAGCTGCCACCTATAGGTCAGATGATTGCCTGCCACCATTAATAAAAATTGGTAATTAAAAAAAAATCCTAAAAAGTGTAAAAATTTGGAACAAAAATGTTCACGAAAATTAATTGTCACGCACAACGAGTCTGTGTGCAAAATGTCAGCTCGATTGGATCACGGCAAGTAGCTTAAAAAACGACCGAAAGATTTGCACGGTCGTAAGCGCACAAGCAAGCAAGCAAGTGAACTTAATATAAAGGATTTTAAAAGAGTAAAATTTCATAAAAATTACATTTTTTAATTAAAATTAATTGAAAATAATAAAAGCAAAAAAACCCAAGACGTTTCGATCGCAACACAAGCGGTCTTCATCAGGCGGAGAGAAAAGAGGGAGCAAACCTCCAAATGCAACTGCTTATAAGCTGCGCGAGCACAACGATCTGCGTAGCAAGCCACACGCTAATGCAGGAGCACAACAAAGGGGGAGTTGGGAGGAGGAGGTGAGCTTGTGCAGCGCAGACAGCATGGGCGGGGCAGCCGATCAGCCAGCGCTAATGTCGGAGCAGACAATGGGGGGTAGGGGGCAGAGACAGGGGGAGAGAGAGGACGGCTGCTTGCGTTGTGGCCGAAACGTCGTCAGAATTATTTTATTGTTTTATTTGTATTATTTTATTACTTCCCTTCTACGTGACTTTACCGAAAGAACCAAGAAGATGAATCCCTGCAGTCACGAAAGCTTTAAATCGAAAAATGTGTTGAGTGTTTTATTTTCTGCCGAGAGAATGGTTGGTTGTGTGAACAAAGGGCAGGTGTTAGAACTCGCCCTCGAGCTGATTGATTGTCGCTTGCAGTGCAGCTGTGAGGCGCCCATGCCGCTGTAAACGTCGAGATTTAAGGCAGTGACTGTTTTTACACAAACCAATCACTCGAGTCTACTACCAACACCGTCATTGCCGGCGCCTTGTTGCTTATAGCTAAGGCTCCGGTTTTCGGCACGGATATTTTTAGTAGACTTCACGGCCGAGGTGCGGGTAAAACGATAGTCCATAGGGGGGTGCGGGGCCCGGAGTAAATCACACTGTGGGCCCCCCGAACCCTGCAATGCCCTCCAAAGTTTGGGGCCCGGGGCGGTCGCCCGATTTGCCGCAAGCCTAGAGACGGCTATGATATTATGTTTAAGAAAAGAAAATATCTTTAACTATATTGCTGGGCATGGGCTAGTGCCTATCATACCTTAATACAGTACCAATTTATTTTCCATTCCAGAGGTCGTATGTTCAGTTGTTCCTGTGTCAATGATGTCACCTTGGTGTGTGATCTGTTGGATGTACTATGCTGCCCTGTGCTTTGCCGTTTACCTCTGTCAACTGTTCGTTTAACGCTATGTCAGGAGAAGCAGATAATTAACGTTGTTTTGGTGTTATTAGGGTTCGTTAAGGTTATGATAATGATACACTTGGGAAATTTTATTCTGTCACATTTACTGTCAGCAGAACTGTGACGGGATCGGTGGAACAAAGGTGCGGGTTGACGGAGCTCTGTCTGTGAATAAAAACAACAACAATAGGCATGCACTGTGTCCTTTAGCACATTCGAAACGTATAGGCATTGCTCGTGTGTACGATCCACCACATTTTCAGAGATCTCAACACGAAGCACGGTATGTATACGCCATGAACAGCCCCGGTTATCTATCCACTGCTGGACAAGTGCATCCCGACATCGTGTCGGGGTCGTGATTCGTTGTGGATTTGTGAGGGCAGTGAGCATAGACGTGGGAGTATTGTACAATACAAGTGGATTTGTCTGCACTTACTCTCTGCTTCTCTGCACATCGTAGCCCCCCGCAATAACCTGTACCGCCTGTAGAATGCATGTGCTCACCCATACAAGCACTATCCATCCAGCCTCAATATTGCTCATAAGAGTCCGAGATGTGATGAAATCGGGTGTTATTTGGTCAGAATCCAACAATTATAATTATTATTATAAGAATGAGTATCACGGTTAACTCCCTACGGTGTCAAAGAAGGTCAACATATATACACGATAATTACAATTTCAATAGCGCCGTGACGCAGCAATTAATTGCAAGGGCGTTTGAGATGAATGTGTCCGTTTTACCATGAGAGCCTCTCACTATTTCTGGAGGATCATTGCTGCTGATGATGTTTCGCCGTTTCATTGTGGAGAACAGTTTGTCCGTCAGAGAGATCGTGGTAACAATTGTAACCGGATTAAAGTCACCGTGACATGTTTGCCTCAACACTTCAAACGACATTAACGTGGGGACTTTAAGAACACTCGAGGCGGGGGTGTTTGCAGAGATGTTAAGCAAAACAAGCGATGTGTGTAGCAATTCCTATGATGTTCTTTTTTTTACAAATGATCTAGCCATGTGTTTTCCCACAAAATGCGCAAGTTGCGATGGCCGGTGGTGGTGGTCAACCACAGTCTCGTTTCTCCGTGGCATTTTGTGCTGAAAGCTATCGTACGTTGAGAACTGATTGTGTTTGTTGTCCTTCCCCAGCACCTCCGATTAGCATGGTTGGCTACGTAGGGTGTGGAAGAAGATCAACATACATACAACTATACTATTTGGTTCTTTTTAATACTTCAGCAGTTTGTTCTTGATGTGGTTGTCCCACCTGATGACGATTGCTTGTGTTGCGATCGAAACGTCGTGATCTATTATTTTTCTACCTACGTGACTTTGCCAAAAGAACCAAAGAGTATGGATTCCTGCAGTCACGAAAGCTTCAAATCAAGACATACAACTATGTTATTTGCCTTACGCGAGCCAGCCTTGTACGTGAGATGTAAAGGTGCGGGATCAGATTCAAGCCCCCAGAGCACAATGAGACTTGCAACAGAGAAGGGTGAAATCTGTATGTTGAGATGATCAGGAATTTAGAAATTAATTAATAAAACGACCTGTTTATGGCAGCAAATATTTCACCTGTTGCTTGCACATCAACATGATGTCGTATTTCATAGATCACGTAGACTGTCGTACATCATCAAGTGGCATATTGCGGCATACGTGCCAACAGTCACTTCACAGCTTTACCTTTCTTGCCCAAATGGCCGGAAGACAAATTATGAAATGGCGTGCCTTTTGTTGTTGGCAACGCTATTGCTGTAATCTCTATACAGCGACACCTTGACTTCATCCACTTGACTTTCGTCGCTTCGCTCTTTCGGCCGTTTTCAATTATAACCACATTTCACATTTCGTCCACGCGCTTTCCTCTTTCGTCCAATTTCATTCAACGACGTTCGTGCCACGCGCCATCTTCTTCGTTCAGTCGTTGAATAGAAGTCGTTCAGTGAGCATCTCTTATATTTGTGTTCATTCATACATTATGAATACTGTACTTATTTTTGTGATGATACTGTAAACAATTCATAGTTATTTTTGTGATAACAGTATAATTCTATCGTGTTTTGACATTCGTCCATTTTTGACATGCGTCCATGCTCTGGTCCCTAACCAGACGAAAGTGCAAGGTGTTCCTGTATTCATGAACATATCTTATTGTGATTTTACATTCATTGTACTATTTAACTCATATGTTATTGGCATTTACATTATACATGCCCACATCCCAGAACTTGACTCAGTTATAAATCAAAATCCATTTTATAATTTTTCGGTGATGCTGATACTGCATTGGCAGTGGTGCAGAAGCAGAATTAACAGCAAAAAAAACTCAACATTCATGAATAACACTGTAGTCTTAAAATAAAATATATAATTGGAGACGTTTAGGCGATGGCCCTTCTTCATAGCACAACTGCTATTATTATAGAACCTTAATATCTTAGGGCAGTGTTATTATCTATTATTGGAGGGCTTGTACAATATGTAGTGCAAGAAGTGGCACAGCGATTTGTGAATCTGGCCACCAGGGTTCGGTTCCAGGCCACAGATAACATCGCTGCGGAATATTTCAACCGGCCTTGCCGCCTTCATCAGCCAGCGCTGACCAGCGTGAAGTATGTTCAACATTCAAAGCAAAGTAATTTTCTCTACTGCCACCTCATAGCCATCTCGCAGGCCAACGGACTTGTGGAATTCTCTACGCGATCCACCAGTCCTTGCCTCCGAATCACCGGATCGCAGTCGTAGGCCACCGTGCCAGTCCTTTAATTTGTCACACCCTTATTTTTTCTACCTACGTGACTTTACCAAAAGAACTAAAGAGTTTTCAAAATAGCATTCCGCTGAGACTCATTCAACCCTAGGCGTGTTCACTTCGAGCCAACTTTAACTATTGACTTACGAGGCAGTGTACTGCACTAAACAAACGTAAACCACGACTGTGCTTCCATTAATACTGTTTTATCCCCCCCTCTCCGTTTCGTTGTTTAGCCTTGAAACAGAAGACGAGAACCACGCACGCACTTGTGGGCCACCTGCGTTGCCACTGGCACCCGACCTTTGTGCATTAGGCAGCAAACAACACAAAAAAACCCCAGTACAGTGACCAACGCTCACTGTTGCCAAGTCTGCCTCTGGGAGACTACACGTACAGAGCCCCCCACACGTACAGAGCCCCCCACACGTACAGAGCCCCCCACACGTACACTGTGGGGCCAAGGATCATTGCATTGTGGTCCGAGCGGCTTTGGTCACCATCAATGAGAAAATAATCCCGACTGACAGGCAGTAGCGAGACGTGTTTGTGTTCGCCGACGCTCCCGCCAAGTATTAAATAAGGCTGTTAACCGATAACCGATTTAAGAAGCTTGCCCCATTGTTTTTAGCTGCCGAGACGGACTCGAATCAGCAACCCCTAGGTTGCGAGCCCACTGTGCGAAACATTCCACCACTGTGGCAGCTCCCTGCAATGCTCAATGGTAATGTTATAATATTTATTAAAGTCTGTATTTTGTAATTCAAGTTTGACTTGTATACCAACAATCCCCAATACACTATTAACACTTCATATATGACATTTCCATAATTTATTATCGAAGTTTTGAACTCCATCCTTTCTCATTTCAAGTGTGTCTTTGTAAAAATGTTCAGAAGGTCTGTGATTATAAATACTTACTGCTGACTGCGCTGACAGCGTCCGGTCGTTTAAAGGTAGTGCTGTCACCAACAGCATCTGATAAACCGATGTACGTTTCGCAAGCTTGACTACTGTTCAGAGTTAATTTACACGTTGTACAAATGCCGTTGATTAATATGAAAATAGAGGCTCAATGAGACTCGACCATGGTTACACCAAAAGGACACGTTTAATCAGTCAGTAAAAACACAAAACCGTCAATATGTACAGAATGCTTGGCATCTTTAACCCACAGGTGTGCATTCATTGTACCATTCACGAGCACTCTCAATGACAAAACACAATATTAAACCAAGAGTATGTGCTCATAAAACATGCTTTAATTGGGTTATTCAATGCGAAGGGAGACGACAATTATGACAGATCTTACTTCCCATGTCCCCCAGCCCTGAATTAATACCGTATTTCTGAAAATCACTACGTGGCAATATAGCTAAATATTTATTTTGTGATTAAGTTGCCGTAAACATTTAATCGCAGTGCGATTCACCACCACCATTGACTCTGCGTCATGTTGTGTTGTGCCAACTGTGGTCAGAAAAAGGTCCACTATTCACGAATATTGCTTTACCGTCAACATACATACGCACGTACAAAAGTAAAGCTGCCCTGACATAAACTAAAATTGATGTACCAGCTAAAGCCCAATGAGCTGTGAGTTCTTTTTCATAGGCGACCTGGCCACACGTGACAGCTCACCGAACTGGCTTTAATAATCACATGTGGGAATTTATAGTAGTAGCCAAATAATCTAAACATGTGTTTGTGTGGAGGGGAAAATCAGAGGATGTCGAGAAAAATCTACGTATCCACCCCAGAGAGAGAATTTGTGAACTCCAAATATCCAAGTATCGACAGGGTCTGGGATCGAACCCACGTGTTTCTGCATACCAGGCGAGGGAAATAACTCACCCACGGTGGCGTCACGGTTACTGACTTGGGGCTAATGGTAGCACTATTATTGGCAGTCGTAGTCATGACATTTACATGCTTGTGTCTGGCACATGTTGCGCTTCTGCTTAACACGCCGGGCGCAACTTTGCTGTCTCCGAGCCACTACAGTCGGTGCTGCTGTGCGGGGAAATTCCCACGATTGTCTCTTTTGTAGAATTGTGATTCTGTAAAAAAAACCTACGTGTGCAAACCGTTTGAACTTCTGCATGTCACAACCAGAGCTCAGAAACTTAATTATGTCTAATATAATCATTATAACCTGTATATAATGTGTAGACGAAAAAGATGAGCATACAGATAGAAAAGTTTAAGTTTACCGACCCACTATATAAGCATCTCTCTCCAAGAGAAAAAAAAAACCCATCTCTTGATATAACCTTTTGGGACAAGTGAGCACCTATTAAGGTTGGCATGGCATACGAGGGGGTGAGGAGGTGTGGGGCAGTCCAGGCAAGATCTCTCTGATTGGCTGGGAGAGCAACAGCAGAGCTGGTAGCAATCTGCAACTGGAATGCTGACCATTTGGGTGCAACTCCCGGCCACAGACAGTGGGTGGGCAATTGTTATTTAAACATCACCTGGGCCTCCCCATATTAACTCAGCCGAAAATAATTGCTGGGACCGTAAGCCGAAATCGACACTTGACAAGCGAAACCTGACAGTATAGATCTGCATGAAGTTGGCCTCCATAGGGTTGAGCACTTCCTAGGTACAAGAAAACAGCATACCTCATGGGAAAATGAATATCTCACAACACCGCAACAGGGGGATGCACTTCATGTAAATGATTTGTCTTGTGACCTGGTGAATTGTTCCACAATTTACAAAAACCTGGACATTTAAAGTCCTGAAAAGACTCGTAGATTTCCCAGGACAGCAGCAGCAGCTACCACAATAAGATCCCCATATTATAATGGCAGGGTCCTTGCCTGTAAAATCGGTAGTTCACCAGTATTGATTCAAATAAGCAAGCCTGAACACTGCTGATCAGACACTGTATATCGCAACCAGTCCACATTTTCCTTGCCTTTAAACGATACCGCCAAAATAAGGCATTCACACAAAGCCGTGCGGCTTGTGCTGGGTTGTGGGAAAAAAACTTGTTTTTGTTATGTTGAGAGATAGATACGTGAGGGATACTAAATCGGTTTTCTTATTTAGTTTCTTACCTCGAAAAGAGGATACTCCTGGGAATATCAGGACACAGTGTGTTAAGCCTAGGGCCCCACCATTACTCACTTGCTACTTGACTTGCTATACCAGACTTAGCAGGTGCTGGTGCTCGCGTGCACCTATATGAAACTATACGGGGCACCGCTGATCCACGGGAGACACTTTAATTTTATCAAGAGACCGATGACCAAAGCGGTTGCCGCCGCGCCAGCCAGGGCTGCTGGCACCGCGTACGCTGCCACTGGCACGCTGCTTGAAGAACCTGCAATAGCAGCAGTGCAAGAAGCACAAAGAAAATCAAGCCAGTCCATACAGTGAGGCTCCACAACATTTTACAGGATTCTCAATTTACCAAAACTATTTTTTTTTCTTGGGGGGCGCAGGGGATATCGTGAGTTAAATATTTCCAGGGGGACACATGCATTATTACACATGCATTATGTACAGTGCAGGTCACGACGAAATAAGAGAGGCGGTGAAACGTACAGGTGTGTGTGTAGGTGTCGGGCAGGCTGGCACGAGAATTTTGACAATACAATAAAGTTGGCACCCACAACAACAGAAATGCTACTCCACCGAGCGCACAATTGATCTAGTGGGCGGCTGGCTGAAGCGCAGTAAATGGAGAGTCCACTCTATTGGGCGTTACGTCGTAAGGTAAAGGTACAACCCTGCAATGTCTTGCTCATGGCACTGCTTGCAAGAGGTCCTCCACTTGGAGCATTCGAAAGAGCCTCTCTATAATACATAGGTGTGGTGGCCCGCTGTTTTACGCCAGCCAGACTTTGTGGAAGAGCTGGAAATTACCCACATTTTACCCACCACCACATGCGACTGATTTTACTCCTGGTACAGTGCATGTACAGTACAGTATATATCTCTCTCTATTGGCTTATAACCTTTCTCAAAGACAATGGCGATCAAGGCCTTCCTTCCATTCAGCTTTGTCCGTGATAATACTCAAGAACGTATATTCTATTGTATTCTATGAACAAAGGACAATGGTGATTATAATCTATGGGCAATGTAAGTATATGGGGTATGTTAGTCTCTGGGCAATATCAGTCTATCTCTCTCTCTATGCGAGCTGTGTCTTTTCTCAAAGACGTTGGTGACCATGACCTTCCTTGCATTCAGCTCTGTCCATGATATTTACTCAATAACTTTGCATTAGATTCTCCCAGTTATATTCAATAATTCAGATTGTGTCTGTAACTTAATTCAGTCTTCTTTGTTTTTTTGTGACACCGCTAACTTTCCTAGTCAAAAGTACATTCATATTCAGTCTATTGTGTTCTCATTACATGTGGATATTTAATTCAAATACAGGATGGCCTAAAAGTCAGGACATATAGGATAATTGAATGTATTTATCAAATCATATAAGGTTATTTAATTATTATTATTAACAAAAGTTCTAACTGACTTCCACTAACATTAATGCACGTATGAATTATCTTTTGAAAATAATTTAGGAATACAATGAAAAAGATCAGGTATAATCTACGAACATTTGTGAATTACGTTTAGTCTCAATTCATTCAGGGATCTTGGTCGAGTTTTGTAAACGACGAATTTAAGGCGACCCCACATGAAGAAGAAAAATACAAGTTGATAATGATAGTAGATACAATATTATCTTAATGCCAGTGTTAACATAAATTCAATAACCCGATGTGTCCTGACGTTTGGGCCACCCTGTATAATAACCCCATGTGTCCTGACTTTTGGGCCACCCTGTATAAGTGAAACATGACCAAGTGTGTGCACTCACCGGTGCTCCTTTTGCGAATCGATATCGGTCCTTGGGAGAGGTCCACGTTGTGCTCAGGGCGAGTGCCGCTGGCCCGGACGTCCCGCACCGACCGCTTGGAACGCACACACCCTCGCCGGCACCGTGAGTTCACGTCCGACTTGTCGCACACACGCACGTTGCACTCCAAGTACACCTGCTATCAAGTCAACATCGCCGCCACCACCGCCGCCACAGTCGTCGTTATATTCGGCAGATGTTTGGATCTTTATTGAGCTTATCTTTATATTTGTAGAACGTGCGTTTAAGCTCAAGGCGTGCGCTCTATAACAGAGTTTAAAAGTGGTAACAACAATGGAGTGATTTAGATGGTAAGGGGCATGCAAGAGCCAAAAAATGAGTGACCATAACAGAGGGCACGTGGAAGGGTCACGAAAGGGCTATAGGGGAGGGACAGGAAGGAGTGGAGTGGTTAGTGGAAGGAAGAGGAAGGGAATGGGCAATGGGGAATTGAGGCTTTAAGAGGAATGAAATGCGGTTAGGAAGGAGGACTGCTTAATATATAGGGAAAGTTGATTCCAGAGGAAGGGTGCAAGGAGGGAGACAGATTGAAAAGATCAAACTGAAAGTGAATGCTGGCGTAAAATAAGTGTAATTTTGTCGTAATAATCATCAGCAGCCATGGTCAATCAACTGCTGAAGGTCTTCCCCCAGGTCGCCACCCAATGCCTGCATGTCAGCTGACGTCACAGCTCCTCCATCTTCGAGGTGGAAGGCCTCTCTGACGCGTTCCATCTCTTTGGATGCCACTGCATCACTACTCTTGACCATCAAACTGTCACGGTTACGTTATTTTTAGCCCAATGATGTTTACAAAAGTTGATTTGTAAGCTGCATTAAACTACCGTGTTGGGAATGCGATATATACGTACACAAAGTCCTCACTTAACACGTATTCATACAATGCGTTTTCACTATTACGCCGTTCTTCTATCAGGGAATACTTTTTGTACAACGAGGAACGTGCCTTTTATAACGCGGAACGCACGCCGTTATAATGCAGCTTCTGAATTGTCGACGACAAACTACTTTCTTGAGCCACATGGTTGAGCGGTATGGGAATTCTGGGTATTCTGCTACAGTACGTAGTGTACCTCATCTCATTTCTTTGTCCCGTCGTAAGATGAATGCAGCCTCATTTTATAATGCAAATGAGATTCACATTTTCTTATTCCTGCTTTGTAATGTATATACGATCATTCCTAGCATTTTTACTCTTCAGAAACGCATCGACTGCATTAAACAAGGAATTGTCGTATAAATATTGCATCGATGTGTAACCCGGGGCTGTAGAAATGTAAATGGTATTTGCCCGTTGCCCTCGGCGTTGCGTCAAGCGATTTGCGAGGGCAGTATGCACCTGTGAACTGCTGTTTAGCTCGACGCTCTGGAAGCTGAAGCGCTGCCTCTTGTCGTCCCCACTGGTGTAGGTCACGTAGGACGTGTCCACTTGACAACTGCAATCATTAGGCACGTGCCGTCAAGCACTGTCAATACTCTCTGGACTATGGACACTTGGCACCTGTAGTTAAGATTCAATTACACATAGAGGTGTGCTGTTCACAACCAGCAGGGAAGGCACAATCCCCATCATGCCTTGCATGCAAGTTCACACGACCACCGCATTGCATGTGCAATGCTTGCTTCTCAGCCTTGTCTCAGCCACTAGCTTGGAAGAGCTGAATGTGTGGTGGCCATGTACATTGTTTAAAAACCACCAAATCAACACTTGGGTTGGATTAAAGTGGCCATCACAACAATGGGCAGCGGTGAAAAAATGAGACAAATATTGACCGGTTTCATTCTCAGTAGGACTCATCAATAGAGTACGGTCATAAATGCTGACAGCAATCTGATGCCTCCCATATATGGAGAGGGCTTACCTTCTTTACACTATGGAGACCCCATGAGCACTTGCCTAATGGCAACACTCATTTAAATCTAACACTTTCACTAAATAATGCGAGAACGCATCATAATAGGAACATGGCACTTGCAGTGCTGGTAATTTAAGGACAGTGAGTAAAAGCCGGAGATGCCAGCTCCAGTCCTCATGCTCCAGCCTGGATCAAGTGAATATAATACGCATTTCAAAATGAACTTGACATATGTCAATGTGGAAAGTCAGAGAATGGCAAGGCACAATGTATTTTCAGAATGAATTTGATCAACGATTTCTGCTGTATGATCCAAATTCGAAGATTACACACGCAAGTTACTCAATCATATACACGGAACAATCATCGACAGCCTACTGGTAGACTAACGGCCCCGTCTGCAGGCCAGGTGCCAAGTCGCCTTGTGCCACACAGGGACAGTTGCTGCCACTGGGGGTGCTCTTTCAAATGTGTTGAGATGATGAGATGACATCAAGCACTCTGAGACGCGCCGACATATGGAAGTGTGGCTCTATCAAAAGAAAAACAATACCCCGATTTAATTCTCCCCCTTTTACTTTGTTTCGCAAATACGTCATCACTTTATTAACACCACTACCTGATTTGCGTCGCCTCAACCCACACTCACGTTGCTGACAGCATTATCTGTCCTTTCTCATATCCCGTCGGCTCTCAGCCTTCGCCTCCACCTACCCTGTAAATGTTTTTGATTCACGTCGTATCGATATCCGTTGAATGCATACGACGACGTAAACCGGGGTATTACTGTAATTCTCGCTATTATTATCATTATTATTATCACAAGCACGGCCCATCCATGTACCCGCTTTGTACGATGATGTAAGATGCATTGTCAGGGGCTCCTGTGTAGGGGGATGCCTTGCATGTCTCCAGTAGCAGCTGCAGGTTGTTATCGAAGGAGTTGAGCAGGACCTAGTGAACAAATTGTGGGACATTAATGAAGAATGCTTGGATGGAAAAGGGGACACATGATGGTTTACACCTTTATTCTTAATAGGCACAACGATGCACAGCTGCAACATAATCACAGACAGCTGTCGACAACTGCAAGTTGATAAAACACCAAACTGTTGATAGAAAGAAAAAAAACTACGACCAAATCCCCGCAGAGTAACGTGTATTATCCCATCACTTCTGTGAGCATGCAGATGACATGGCCAATCACGACCCAACTATTTTCGTGATGTTCAATTAGTCAAATTATCAAACCCATAATCTGTTCTAGATTTGAAGCTTTCGTGACTGCAAGGATTCATATTCTTAGGTTTTTTCGGTAAAGTCACGTAGGTAAAAAATTAAAATTAATACAAATTAAATAAAAATTAAATAAAAATCACGACGTTTCGGTCGCAACACAAGCGTCCGTCTTCAGGTGAGAAAATTATCTGCTGTGGCTTTATATAGGCACGGGAGGGCATAAAACTACAAACAAACAACAACAAAAATCCAAGACCTTCTCAATGATGGCAGCTATACCAAAATCAACAGAGACTCTACCAATACCTTGGCGACTAAAACCAACAAAATCATCACTAATTCGACTTCCCCAATCGAACGCACCAAACAGCTCTCTCCAAAATCTTCAGCTGCTAAAATCTGTTGTCAATCACTTACATAGTCCAGCTCTCATCCAATTAGACAAACCGAAAACTGCACTGATAGAGGCATACCAACACCGATCGTTTTTGTGATGTATTTAAAGCAAGACAGTATCAAAATCTTTATATAGACTGTAGGAATCCGATGAGCTATGAAGCTCTTTTTCCCAGATGTCCAGTATGGGCGGGCCAGCCAGTTACAGGCACACAATACAATACGCATGATAGGAGGGCAAAATAGAGGAAACGGTAAGCAAGTCACTAAATATAAATAAGTAACTTGATTCATGATATAAGTACAATTCATCAATATTGGGAAAGGCAGCAAAAACAACAACAAAGCAGTCCCAAACAACACCAAGATAACAGACAGTAGTCCCTTGCGCTGGTGCCTCAACGCAATAAAAAAAACAGTGGCCTTGCGATGTTTCGTCACCTTAATGAATAACGTTCACGAGTTGCGCATGAAGTTGCTGTAGACAACTTAAAATAAACGAGACGAGTGAAGATGAATGGGCTCAGAGGATGGGTCAATGCCACTCACTGCATAGAAAACAAGAAGGCCTGTACTTGAGCAAGAGAGCAAGGATAAGGAGGAGGAAGTGAGGAGCTGCATTGGTCCGGAATGGCATGAAATGTATTTCTTTTGTGAAGGCAGAGATTGTTTTGTTTCGCATGACAGGAATGTGTCCAGCACGTCTGGTTTGAATCACTGTTCGAATTGTCAATATGTCACTACTTGGTTTTTATACTTCTGCATTCATGACAGAAATATGGATGTTGGGCCTTGGCCAAACACCACCTGGAATGTGCCCAAACTGGTCAGACCTCAGAAGCTAAGCAGGGTTTAGTCTGGATCAGAGGCTAAGCAGCGTTTAGTTTTAATCAGAGGCTAAGCAGCATTTAGTCTGGATCAGAGGCTAAGCATGGTTTAGTCTGGATCAGAAGCTAAGCAGCATTTAGTCTGGATCAGAGGCTAAGCAGCGTTAAGTCTGGATCAGAGGCTAAGCAGAATTTAGTCTGGATCAGAGGCTAAGCAGGATTTAGTCTGGATCAGAGGCTAAGCAGGGTTTAGTCTGAATCAGAGGCTAAGTAGGGTTTAGTCTGGATCAGAGGCTAAGCAGAATTTAGTCTGGATCAGAGGCTAAGCAGGGTTTAGTCTGGTTAATGCTCTCACGGGCGACCACCACGAGCAAGCAAGATAGTCGTAGGGCTGTGGATCCACATGGTGGGTGATTAGAGGTCAATGCAGCAAAACCATCGTTTCGCTGTACTTCTCATGCTTCCACGTCTCGCTCGCCACCTTCACTGACCTACATCGACCAGAGTGGTGAAGCATGGCTATATGATCGCCCCCCATCCCCCCATGCCGCGGAACACGGTGGAAAGATGCTCATTTAGCAGTGCGATGGACAAAAAAACCAACGTATATGTCCATTGAAGATGGGCTTTTGAAAAACAAGGACACTTAGGGACTGCAGTGTGAACACTCACGACATCTATATTTCAGTCCGGTTCTATGATGATGGCAGCAGCTATGTGGTACAGTAGCTGAATGCCAATGTCGAGGTCTGCTCCTAGCTATTAGCAGGGTGCCACGGTGGCGAGATGTTAACTACCTCGCCTGGTATACAGGAGGTTGTCGGTTTAATCCTGACCCTGACGTCTGTATATTTGAAATTTGCATGTTCTCCCCGTGGTCGCGTATATTTTTTCTCCGGGTCCTCGGTTTTTCCCTCCATATTTATAATCATGCATTTCGAGTATTTGGCTGCTATATATTTCCACATAAGCCACTTTGGTGAGCTTTCATTCATGGCCAGGTCGCTCAGTGGGCCTTGCCTGGTAAAATAAAAATTGTTTAGTTCATAGAGAAGGCTTCAGGAGACAAGAGTTTGTGTAGTTTTGCGATTCCTCCTCCATCGATTTAGCGCATATTACAATGGGTTTGTTTAGTCCATGGTCCTTAGTTTGGGTTGCTTGGCCACAGTCGCACTACCATTCATGGCAGAGATGTATGCATCGGCCTCACCAGAGAGTCTCACTCTGCTCACTATCCTTCCGCTGCTCATGCCATTCCCTCTCTCACCTCCACGTAGATGGGGGACCCGAGGTCCACCTCAAATGGGTAGGAGTTGACGGCCTGGCTGAAGGCCTGGTTGGTGTAAAGCACCATGCTGAGGTTGAAGGAGCCAGAGCTGTACTCATCCACCACCCTGCAGGCAAGAGCGGTAAAGGTGACGTCGTCACATATGACACAGGGCACACATGACATCTCTTTCCACCACAGAGTGTTAGCGCAGATTCGTTTTCAGTAACAGCGGTATGTCAGACGCCACGAATTTTAACAGTACGGTAAGTCCTCGCTTAACACGCTTTCACACAACACATTTTCACTATATGAGGGAACACTTTCATTCCATGAGGGGACACGTTTCACACAACGTGAAATACGCTCAGTATAACGCGGTTTCTGACGAACTACTTTCTTGAGCTGCACGGCTGCGCAATACAGTGATATAGTACACACAATGATACAGTAAAGCAGCTGCGTACCCTCAGTTTCTTGTCCCGCCATCTTACTGTGTGTGTGTAGTAAATTGTATCTCGACAAATTTTATTGTTACATTATTTATGATGTCGCTAAATGCGGCACTTTTCCCGAACGCTTGGATCTGTGTGTTTATCAGTTGGAATGAGTGACAATGACCGTAAAAAATGAGAATTGGTAACGTAAAATATTCAGAACAAATTTGTACATTGCATTATTCGTTTAAACCCAATCTTGGGGCACGTTGTGGGCAAAGTTACATTGTCGACAGAAACTAGAACAAAAACATTGAAATCAAAGACAATCTTCATACTACGCCAACAACAAAATATAATTATCCTTGGAAAATTCAGTGGAAAGATTCGGAACGCTGGAATACCAAATTCCAAACAGGTGGCTGTAGTAACAAAAGTCAGGAACAACTGAACTCAGCCAAAGAACTTCTTCCTGTGACAGCATCACAATCTAATGTAATTTATATTCTTCGAGTGCCTTCACCTAAGGCGCTTGACATAGATTACAAAACGATGACAATGGAATGATGGAGTTGGGAGGGGTGTACAAGGTTTGGGGAATGAGTGAAAGCAAGAGAGGGTAAATTTTGATTCAAAGCTTTCGTGACTGCAGGGATTCATATTCTTGGTTCTTTCGGATAAGTCACGTAGAAGGGAAATAATAAAATAATATTAATATAAAACAATAAAACATTTCTTGCTGTGGATTTCACACCTGATGATGATTGCTTGTGTTGCAGTCGAAACGTCGTGAGAATTTTTATTGTTTAATATTAATATTATTTTATTATTTCCCTTCTACGTGACTTTACCGAAAGAACCAAGAATACAAGAGAGGGTACTTATGGATCATGGAAGGGTAGGGGAGGGACAGGAAGGAGTGGAGGGGCGAGGGGAGGGAAGAGAATGGGCATTAGAAAAGAGGTGAGGGTTTAAGAGAGGAACAGAAGGAGGTTAAGGAGGGGGACTGCTCAATGTACAGGGGAAGTTTATTCCAGTTGGAGCTGTGCAAGGAGGTAGAAGGACCGAAAATGGTATTGGGCAATGGGAGGAGCGATAGAGAGAAAGAAAGATCATATTTGAAAGGAAGAGGACGAGAGGGGACACGGTAGGTAATGAGAGAGGCAAAATAAGGTGCTGGGGTGTGGCTGCACGTTACCTGGGAGCAAAGCTCGCGATGACCTTCCCTTCGGAGCCGATGTAGCAGTGCATGGGAATGCGCAGTTTCTTAGCCCTGGTCCCCGTCACGTAGCCGTACGCAGAGTTAGTGTACACAATGGTGTCGCCGTGTGCCTAAGAGGGAAGGCATGGGAGACGTGGGGGTCGGTGGCACGGTGGTTAGCTCGGTGAGCTGAGTTCGATTCCCGCTCATGGCCAACATCGGTGACGGAGATCTGTACCTATCCTAAGCCTCCCCTAGGTCGAATCAGCCTCAAATGAGTACCTGGTGCGAGGTGTAAACAGCGCCACTAGGGAACAAAGGCTGCCGGGAGTGGTGCTGGCCACCCAACCCCCTCGCGTGCCGTGCCGGCCTTCGTAGGTTCTCACTAACAGCAAGTGGAGCTCTGAGTTGCATATGAAGGCTGCAGGTAGCAAGGCCGGAACTAGGGGTGGTGCAGGAGTGGCACTGCACCACCACTATTTCCCTTTGGCTCTGTACGCACAACACAAATTCACTCTCCCAATAGTGAATCACTGTTATGGTGGCCTACACGACAGCTATACTGCCTGCTCCCCATCCGAGAGGACCTGGAGCCAGGCCGCCTCGATAGTTAGGTCGTGCAATCTCCGGTGTTAGGTGTGGGTAGTGCACTGCGTGATAAATAGGTGTGGGGTTTGTGCAGAGCAGTGTCAAATGGAAACCAGAAACTGAAATTGGTAAGTGGAGTTAGCCGCTAATTTCCATGAAATGAAGACCGAACCTATATTCCATTTTCTGCTCTGTAACAAAAATATTATTCAGTCACCAGTGAAATTGGCAATTATCACTTGGCCTAATTCATTGTTATAACACGAGAGAACCAACAACGAACGTGGTTTTCCAATTAAACATGATTTACATATAAAAACAACCACATTAAATGTTTACCTCAGCATTGCCATGTTGGCTCGTGACCTCATTAAACCAATTTCAGTGATGTTGGATGTGCAACCAAAACAATAATTTTAATTGTATTTTCCCACTCTTTCAACCCATGATAAAGCAATGCTGTGAGCTGGGCTGTCCATAGTGGAGTGCAGGGCCCGAGGCAAATCCCACGTTGTATGGGTCCCCCGACACCTTCAAACTAAACCCGAAGAGTTACATCTGACGTGACGTCTAAGCGCGGTCACCCCGATTCACCATGCCATAGGGACAGCTTTGGCTGTGGGTGTTCTTGTGAGGTTCCAGATCGCAGATGTTTGGTGTGAACCGTCTTGTCGGATCCCATGTGTGGGTAGGCTCTTTGAGTGGTTGGAGGGGGGGAACCTTGGTACCAGTTGAATACCTCGGATGTGGTGCCACAGGCCTTCAGGTTACTGCGCAGAATCAGATAATCCCCCGATGAGGAACCGTGGCACGAAGGGTCCTCCAGATGGATGTTGGCCGGGTCGAGGTGGAGGTTTTCTAGTACACTCAATGAGATCTGCAGCTCAACGTAACTTGAGGTGCAGTTTAGGTGGGGCGATACTGAAACAGAAATGTCATTAAATGCGCAACGTTTTCTACATGAAGGCACACATTCAACAGGTGATTTCTTGCTAAAATGAGCACCGAGGTAATGATCAAATCCCGTTTTAAAGCCCCTGAGTCAGTGGTAAAAAAATCTAAATTGCCATGGTGGAGGTTTCTTTAAAGCACAATCATTGTTGACTTCCTCATAAGTGGTAGCTATTGTATCGACCACTGAGCTACCAGTCCTGTTATATAGACCATATACATGGACCCTCAGATCTTATGAAAGCTGAGCAGGAAACCTATACAAAGTTGGAGAGTTTGTGGCGGAACGGCACTTCTGACTTACTCTAGCAGTTAACACACTCAGTCCCTTCTCACCGATGTGTTCACAGCGGTCGCCCACCCAGCCGGGCTTGCAGTGGCACTTGTAGCTCCCGGCGTCCACCCCATCAGTGCTGCAGTCACCCCCATTGATACAAGGGTTCGGCTGGCAGGGCCCTGCCACACACAGATGTAATGGGTAAAGGGGGTTCTCGCAAGTCTATGTTGCGAAAGGCAGCCCATACGAGGAGATCGTTGGACTTTATTGAAGCTCCTCACACTACGACTCATAAGCACCGGTAGGAACCTCTTCAGGAGCCCTGGGCACGTTTTACACACCCCTTATATACCCTCTGCCCCCACATTTTTCCAGAACATTCCTCTTACTCCCTTTTCCCCACCAAATCTCCCTCCTCCTGTCCTCGGCCAATCCCCTGCCCTCTTCTTCCCGGCTTCATTCTCTTTATTTATTTAAATATTTTGGGGGTGTATCCCCGTGTCCTCACCTAACCCCAATGTCCCTTAAACGACCCTTACAAGTGTGTATACAATATTTGTTTGCTTAGTAATTTAACCACTGTTGGCTGAGCACAGGCCCAAGGGCCAAACATGTCAAGCGGCCAGCAACAAGCAGAACGATCAAAGTTGTCACAGCATTCAACTATGAACCGTGTAGAAAACCACTGTAGGAGGAACAGCAAAACTACACGGCCTTTGCTGATGCCCTCTCATCATGGCCAGATGTGCTGCAATGCGCAAACATAGAATTATTGTTGTTATGTAAAAATGTATTGTGCTACGGGCATGGTACCCTGCCTATGTAAGACACGTTAGAGATGCTGGGCTTACCGGGCGAGGCAGATGTGGTCTGCACTGTACAGTCGCGTTTTTCGGTCCGTGGGAGCACATGGAACGGAAATACATGAGCACGTGGCCATCATTAAGACGTGCTGTTGCACCATAATTTCTGGCGACTACCTGATGATGCTGGTTGTCACTATCAGCGAAACGTCTACACCCAACAACAACGCGCCGGTGGTGCTGCTGAAGCAGTAATAACATTAGCCACGTTCGTTTGTCACGTGATATCTTTATTCATTGGCTGTGTCGGGTGGAGGAGGGTTCACGACCCACCTTTAACCGAATGCGATCTGACCCAAACAACTATTACGAATCGCAATATCGGTCGCAAAAGCGTGCACCGTGTTAAATCTGTTGCAACACGTAAAATTATTCAGTGTAGGCGCGCCATCTCCATGCGCATCTTGAACAGAAGCTCATTTACAACCCACAAGCACGTCAAGTCTCATATAACCCTGTCTGTAACAATGTTGAGCGTCCGCTGTAGAGTGTATTTTACATATGTATATACAAAACTCGTACAATCTGCATTACCCGATGTAGTGTGCACATGCACACAGCTGGATGAATCGAGTCCCGGGTATTATTTGACCACTTAACCAGTCAGTGCGGGGTTTGGTCAAGTCGGGGAGCATACATTTTGGAAGCATATATGTACAATCTTGATTTGAAGATATATGTACAGTACAACAATGCATTTTCATGCACTGCCCTCTGTCTACTACTTAGGTCCCCCGCAAGCACTTTGGCAACCTGTTCGCGCACATCTGTTCTTGCCCAGATCATACGGGCGTCCTTTTTTTCACAGCGCAGTGGTTAGCACACAACCCGCGTTCCGTTCTCCACTCACGGCCATCATCAGCCACGAATATTTTAACCTATCATCAGCCTCCCCAAGGTCGAGTCAGCCTTACATGAGTAACCAGTGCGGTGTGTATTAAGCATCAGCACTGGGGAGACAAAGGCGGCCGGGCGTGGGGCTTGACCACATCAACTTGATACGTGACTATGCCTTCTTCAGCGGAAGCTTCTAAGCTAAGCTAGCTAAGCTATTTTTATTTATTTTACCAGGTAAGGCCACTGAGCGATACAGCTCTTTTTCAAAAGCGACTTGGCCACAAATGATAGCTCAACGAAGTGGCCTATCACGTGGAAATGTATAGCAGCCAAATTCTCTGAACGCGTATTTTTTAAATGTGGAGGGGAAAATCGGAGGACCCGGAGAAAAATCAACTCGACCACGGGGAGAGAAGCACCCCAAAGTCCAAATACACAGCTGCAGGCATCGTCCGGGCCGGGATCGAACCCACAAGCTCCTGTACACCAGACGAGGGAGTTAACATCTTCTAGCCACCGCGTCTGCCTACCCGAATCGGATTCCTCACCGAGCCGTATATTATATATGCCCATCATTGCGTGGGGAAAGGGGGCCTAAATATGCAGCAAATATTGATACATTTGTATAGTTGTCCCATTGTGTGTGGTCCAGTAAGCCTATACCTGACGTGCGTGCTTTACCAGCCGAGCGCATGTAGCCTGCATGCTCTGTGCGGCGAGTAACGCAATGCGATGCATGATACACGTCTATTCAATGACTGTATATAGTTCCTTCACATGTATAACTATACACAGAACAGTATATACATCGCACGTATAGTGTAATGAAGAACTTCAAGATGTTCCACAGCGCTGCAACGACCAGTAACAGCGAGAGTGCTAGGTAGCCCGTGGGCACGCGTGCAGTCTACGGGTACTGTCACAGCGCCTGCTGAGTCAATGTACCTGTGGTTGTTGCAGTGGCAGGCACAGCGAAGCAGAGGACGACGAGGCAGTGAGTGGCGAGCCACGAGGGGGGCAGCATCATCCCCATTGGCAGGCAACGTGTGGTCGACCCTCTGCTCTAACTTGTCCTTTAAACAACAGACGACGCGCATCATCGTCACCACCACCGTGATTCGTAAATCTCGGGGGTGTGCGAAGCGATTATTGAGCTCGCTCGCTCGCTCGCACCACGTGACGTGGCAAATTCAATAACTCAAAAAACACGAGGTGTGGACAGGACGGTGACGGCTCTGTGTTGTGTTTCCTCCCCTCGTCCCCCGAATTTGAATAGAATCTGTGATACGCTGATGCTGCTGTACACAGACAGAAAAGCGCCTGGGCAGGGTGTGACCACGTAATACCTCTTGTGAGGTCGGTGTGGCCGTGTGATTGGCTGACAGCGGTTAGTGAAACATAAATAGCCGAGCGACCGGCCGCAGCCCGTGCCAATAGCCACGCGTCACCTTTTATTCGTTTGAGCTGAATCGCGCCGGTTACTTGCAACAACGTCGCACCTTTTGCTTGAGTGTCCTTTGAGTCATTTCACTGGAGGGCATTTCACTTGCTTAACTCCGTGTTGCAATTTGTTGCCATCTAGAACGTCTTCTACGATTTCTTACCACTGTGTATTTAATTAGAAAAAAAACACTCAACACATTTGTCACTAGCACTGCCTTAAAAGTAAAAAAATGAAAGGCAATCTGTCGAGCAACGAATGGTAATGAATGCCCCTTCGTAGCATAAGGAATAAGGGCCCATTTGCACCACTAACAGCGGTAGTATCACCAAATATTTGTTTAAAATCTAGGACCATTCGCTGTTGCTTAACGCTGTACTTTTGTTGTACTGTCGAACATTTCGTCTATTTTATGCTTGCCCAGATATTTTCAGAAAAAAAGATGTTGCACTCGAGGAAACGTTCGAGTTGTTTAACTCTGTCACTATGAAACATATTACTGATGTGACCGTTTGCTGTCTTAGATGTTAATGTCTGCCTCCAATTTGTGGCATGATCAGACCCGTTTGGCTGTTATAATGTTTAATACTAAGCTTACATTTTAGAACCTTTTTGGTTTAAATGCCTTTGAGCCAGCTCTCTGTCTTGAAATTAAACACATTTCTACTCTCAATGGTGGTCTAAATGGACTATTTAACCGGTCTGAAATAATATAGAAAACATAATTGACAAATTACATCACTGCACGCGTGTTGTGACCATCAACGTGATAGCACTCTCTGGGCGAGGTGTGGTGCTCCCATTTTAACCTTAAATGTTGAGAAACTCCCTATTCGCAGGCGTCGAGGTGTCATACCCTGGTACTCGCCAAGATAAGGCGGTACAGCAAAACTGCGGACTCCTCTTGTTTCGTCTGCACGTGGGAGGGTGTTCCCCCCTGGCACGCATGGTTTTTTTTCTGAGTGCTCCAGTTTCCTCCTAAATGTAAAAACTCGTTAATTGAACGATGACATTTTAATTTCGAGGTGACCGCAGAGCTTGGGCAGTTGGTGGTGCAGCTCATTGCTGCTGCTGCCGTCCCGCTTGTCTGTGGTTTCTCCTCGCGCCTCTGAGTCGCTCTCTCTCTTCGAGAGTATGTGTGTTGAACTTCTTTCGCACCATACGTAGCCAACCGTGCCAATCGGAGGTGCGGGAGAAGGACAAACTAAATACAAAAATCAGTTTTAAAGAACACTGCGCAGTGCGTTACAAGTTGAAAATATGATGTTTGTAATAATGTTCTGTTTTTGGCTTAATAGTGGAAAGGTTGACATCTTTCAAATATTTTAACACATCACTAGTAGCGTGATAACAAACATCTCAATAGACCAATATAGGATGATGATGACTTGAAAACATTGTAATTCAGCCATTCGTAAATATAAGCCCGCTAGCTATCACGACCAGTCAATTATTCCATAAAACATACGTGTTTGCCCGCTTACCCCGGTATAAGGCCACACATTGTCAAATGTAACATTTCAGATGAGTTTGTGTATTCGCTCTTTCTTGTACTTTGTTGGTTTGCCTGAGTGATAACAAAGTAATATTAGTGTGATAATATTTTTCGCGTGACTCATGTTGATGTAGAGTAACAGCTATCATTTTATATTGAGGTGGTTGAGCTCGATGATTTCGTTAGGACTAGCGGAGTAGCGAATCGCTGCGATGCTTCCTCCTTCGTCTTTGTGAAGCAGGCATTGATTTGTGATATGTTTTATGGTTCTATTCTGTGCGATAACTGTCTGGCATTGTTATCCATATGAAACCATATATTAGATACGAAATAGCGCAACCATCATTTTTCTTATGCTGCCTTTAAGAACTGGCCTTACACTGTTCGCCGGCACTCAGCTGTCGTCGGAATCTATAAACTTTTAAATAACAATTGATTTTGCCAGAAAAAACATTAACAAGTTATGTGGATAGTGCATGCATGTTTTTCACACAGACTGTATGACGAAGTATGAACAGTTTTTCAAAGTGAGAAAAATGTGCTATGAGGAAGTGCCTGTTGTTGTCGGATGTGTTGTTTTTATTAAGTGTGCTTGCACACCTCTGCCAAAGCTGCATTACCAAAGAGCTAGCCAGCTACATTGTGCTGTGCGACTTCGATCACAGTGATGCTCCTACGAATGCATTCCGTCTTCAGAAGAGTGGCATTGTGGTAATTTTTGTCTGACATTTTACACAGACATTCAATTGTGTGGCTTGACAGTTGTTTCAAATTAGGCCTGTAAAATTCTGACGCCGCGTGTTTTGCAATGAAGCGTGCCAAACAAATGTCGTAACTACATTTTGACGGACGCTTTCTGCAGGCGCGTTTTGACCTATGATGTTTATTTGTGAGAATTTTTTTATGTAAGCCTCTTCCAGCTTCAACGGTGCATGGGTTTGCACTATTAGTATTATGATTTACTGTTCGGGTGATGAATTAGATGTTTGGAGGTAGGATTCTTGGTTCATATTATGGGTATGGCGTTGGGGTCGGCTTCATTTTATGGTTAGGGCTATTTATATGGTTAGTAGGGATAGCGGTGGAGTGGAAAGGCTTTCATCCATTGGTGGACAATGGACAGTGATTAGGAAAATGTCACCCTTGTGTGTCTAAAGTTAAGTTTGTATTACGGATTGCATTAGCCCTTTGGAGTTGAGTTTATAAGGTTATGCATAAGGCTAGATACAACTTCAATTAAAGCGAAAACATATTCAGGGGAAATTTAACGATGTAAAGCATGTAAAGATCTGCAATACCTCCTTTAGACATCCCGTGGCCTTTGTAGGTGGGTATCTTAAGACCAGGACATACACTGTGTGATCCACCTACCCCAGCTCGAAATAAGCTGCTGCGTCCAGCACTAGAAGGTAACATTTAACCAATTCAGTAATTGATAATGAGGTCATTGAGTGACTTGGAGTGCTGTTGTCAAGAGTGGAAAGTCAGCTTGACTGCAATCCTGGGTTTGAATCTAGGTTCCAGCTACATGTGCTTAAACTGGGATTCTCGAGTGCAGCCACTTCATGGATGGTCTCAGACTAATAACAAATAACTGCACAATATTAAATTTGGCTAAATTCCAGCTGCGACAAATTTAATAAAAATAACGGTTGCTCGTCATTATGCAGGTGTAGTGGCATAGAATAGTGTAGCAGCATAGCGCTGGCTGCTGGCAGGGAAGGGGATCTGCGGCTTACGGCAGCCCTGACGTCAGCAGGCCAGGTTACACACCAGAGGGGGGGTCTAGGGAAAAGGTCACAGAAGGGGCACACCAAGAACCTGCTGGTAGGTTCTAGTAAGGGGGCGTGGCCGGGGGCGGAACCAGTCCATGCTGACAGTATAAGAAGGGCCCCTGTGGGGGACCTCAGGGCTGTTGATTGTAAGTGGGATCCCCGTCGTGATGCTCAAGTCCATCGTCGTCGTTGTCACCATTCTTCTCTTAGCCGCCGCAGTCGTCATCGCTTGATATTGCGCTGTTATACAGTTGTTGGCTGTATTGGTCAGCGCCATCGATGTAAGACGGCTAGTGTTGTGTATAGGCTAGGATGTGTGTAGCCTAGGCGACTGTAGGGTATGCGATTGAGATACTAAGTATAATAAAAGTGCCTTCAAGAATTACTGCCTCCGTGTTGAACCACTACACAGGAATGAACGCCAATCCCAAGTGCGCCCTCCAATGTGTAAGGATACAAAGGGCATGAAAAAATAAGAATACGTTTTACCCTTTCTGGCAATAAAACACGTGCCAAGATGTTCAAACACCAAATAGATACCTTTTGTAAAGAGCACTTGCAGAGTTTTTACAAATTCAGTCAAAATCTTTAGGGCAACCCCTTCTCAGCTCTCTGTTCGCAATGCTCCAAGTTATTTTACAGTTCGATTCTTTGTCTCATAACATGAACAGGGTACCGATAGCGTACCCAGCAGAGATGGGTTGGGGAATACACTTGGGGAGAAAATAAACAATCGGAAGGGTACAGCATTTAAAAAATCAGCTGAGTGAACTTAAATTTGTATATTTCCCAGAAGCATATGGACCAAAATCGACGTTTTACACCACCAACATTTGTGGCCTGATAAATTATTTCTACTTTGCTACCTTATAGCATAAAAATGTGTCATGTTTCTTTAAAAAATATGTATTACTTATAACTACATATTCATCATTAAAATGACACCTTTATTCATCATGTGTCATTTTGCTTACTCCAGGGTACTTTGAGGAGGCTCGTCTACAACAATAGATACCTGAGCACCCAACTGCATTTGAGGTGAGCCGAGCTGAAGGTCAAATTTAAACCCCAGGGGGCTTTCCTTCGAGGGGACTTGCATAACAGCACCCACATCGATAAATACCCACGTAACAATAATTATAAAAGTAACTCGCGTGCAAACTTAATGTCTATATATATTTAGGTGCGGCACTCAGACTTCAAAGTTGAGACGCTGACGCGATACATTAATAAAATAAGTGTACTCTTTCAGGTTAACATCCTGGAGCAACGTGTGATTGTTTCCTTCGCATTGGTTTCAGCTGAGCCATCATAATGCCGGACGCATGCCGGTAAGGTTGGCCAACGTCAAAAGAACATTGTGTTTCGAAATCTGACCGTTTGAAAACATCTATAAATAAAGTGCAGGTAAAAAAATGTGGCGTGCAATTATAGACCAGGGACATTTGTAACAAAAATGGTTCTTTTTAGAGTTTATAGCGACAAAAATAAACACAACTCTGATGGACCAATATTTCAGTTTCCGATCACTTCCCTTCCAAGACATAAAATAAATTAACATAAT